TGTTCGGGGTCACCCCTCCCACACCCGGCGAGGCCAGATCTGCTGTGAGTAAAGGGAAAGCTCAGCTCTTTGGCAGCGGGGTGCCCCGTCATTTATTCCATCAACAAACATTTAGGGAGCGGCTCCTGTGTGGCGGCGCTGAGAGGCGGGGCGGGGGCGGCCGAGGTGGGGGGAAGGTGCAAAGGGGACTCCGGCTCGTGCCTGGGAGCACGGGCGCTCCTGCGGGACGCGTCAGGGCGTCAGTGCAGCCCGGCCACACGGTGGCGACAGAGGACGCGCCGCCCGCGCCCACGGGGCGGGGCTTCGGGGGCGGGGCCTAAGGGGCGTGGCTTCCAGCTCCGCCTCCCGCCCCGGCACCCCGCCCGCAGGGGCAGGCAGGTGGCCCTCGACGGCGTCTGCGAAGCGGCCGGTTCATTGCGGTTCCCGTTCCGCAGCCCCGGGGCCCGCGCCCGGCCTCACCTGTACCTGCCGAGCCCTTGGCAGCTGCGTGCCCCTGTGAACCGAGGCGTTGCCCCCCCGCCCCCCCCCCCCCCCCCCCGGCCCCTTACCAAATGCAGCAAATCAAAGTACGTCCCATTGAGGCTGAGTTTCCGGGGAGCAGCACGGCCCAGGCAGCCCCGGCCTCAGAGTAACCGCGTGTCCTGGATCCCGGGGGGGGGGGCGCGCCCCGTCCCCGATGTGCCCCTGCGCCGCGTCCCCGAGGCTCCCGCCGCGCCCGACGGTTCTGGGCTCCGGAGGCCGAAAACCCAGGCGTGGGCGGGGCTGGTCACCCCCAGGTCACCCCCCATCCCCCGCCCCAGGGAGACCCCCTCCTGCCCCCACCTTCCAGGGTCCCCACGGCCCCTCCTCCGTCCTCCCGGCCAGCAGCGCGGGGTCTGCTAGTCTCGGGGGCTCCCCCACCGCCTCCCCCTTGGGGGGACCCCGGGAGCCCAGGGTCACCCCTACCCGGGGCCTCGACCAGGTCCCCGCTGCGCGGCAGGCGGCAGCACACCGCAGCCCCTGTGCTGACTGCTGTTTTAGGGCCGCTCTGGTCAGAACCGCACGCGCACTGGCCACAGCCTGGCCTCCTGCTTCCCGGGATGGAAAGTAGCGCAAAGTCTGCACAGCAAGCTACTTCCCCAGGTGCTGCTTCCCCTTCTTTGTTGGTGGCCATTTAGAGTTAATTAACACTGGGGCACCCGGTGGCTCAGCGGTTGAGCGGCTGGCTTCGGCCCAGGGCCTGCGTGACCCCGGGGTCCCCGGATCGAGTCCCGCATCGCAGTCCCTGCAGGGAGCCTGCTTCTCCCTCTGCCTGTGTCTCTGCCTCTCTCTGTGTGTCCCTCGTGAATAAATAAAATCTTAAAAAGAAAAACAAAATTAAAAGTTCAGTTTCCTAATCACATGAGCCATGTTTCAGATGTTCAGTCACTCAGCTGTGGCTGGCAGCTCTTGCAATGGAGAGTGAAGGTCTAGAACGTTCCTATCATTGACCCATTATTATTTTATTTGTTCATTTGAGAGAAAGCATGTGAGAAAACATGCACAGGGGGGAGGGCAGGCTCCCCCCTGAGCAGGGAGCCCAACATGGGGCTCGATCCCAGGACCCCAGGACCATGACCTGAGCTGAGGGCAGATGCTTCACCAACTGAGCCATCCAGGCGCCCTCATTGTCCCATTATTGGACAATGCAGGACCGGAACATTCTAGAGTGACACTGCTCTATGTAGGAGCCATCAGCCACCAGTGGCTGTTTACATTCACATTTAAATTTTGTTGGCCACTGCTGTCCAGCACGGGCTGGCGTGGCTCCCTCCTTGTGAAGGGAGGAGGAAGAGGGGAGGTGGGCTGTGGCGAAAATGGTGCCTGCCCTGAAAGGCCTGAGGAACAAGTTCCAAGGCCACCTTCCAGGTCAGGATTTCTGCCTTTTCTCCCACTATTTTAACCTGTCTCCCTGACTACTCTTTGTTCCCTGAATGTGACTTGTGATCCCGCCACTTCCAAGTCTTTTCTACTCTGTCTCCCCCTGACCAACCAACCTCTCCAGCTAGCCTTCCTCTGAATCTCTCAGCAAAATTAGTCCTTCCTCCTCTGTTCTGACTTATCCACACACCACCGATCCATTGACCCATCCATCCACCCATTCATCCACCCACCCAACCACCCACCCATCCATCCATCCATCCATCCATCCATCCATGTACCCATCCACCTACCCATCCATCCATCTATAAATCCCCCATCCATCCATCCATCCATCCATCCATCCATCCATCCACTGTCCATCCACCTATCCATCCATCCATCAGTCCAGTCACCCAACATCCATTCATCCATCCATCCATCCACCCATCCAACCACCCACCCATCCATCCATGAATCCACCTATCATCCACCCATCCATCCATCCATCCATCAGTCCAGTCACCCAACATCCATCCATCCATCCATCCATCCATCCATCCATCATCCATCCAGTCACCCATCATCCATTCATCCACTCCTTATCCGTCTTCCATCCATCCATCCGCTCACCCACCACCCACCTATCCATCCATGCACCCAGCAAATGCTGAGCACCTTCCCATTTCCAGGCTCTGTTTGTTCTATTTGGTCTGTTGGTGTTTTCCTGGCCTCAGAGGTCTTGTGTCTGAATTGATGCCCCACAGATGTATCCATCTGAGGGCAGAGCTGGAGAGAGGGGACGACTAGGGACACCTGCCAGGCTCTATACTCGGCTGCGCATGGTTAAGTGCTGATTAAGTCCCCACTTTACAGAGAAGAAGACAAGTCAGGGAGATAACGTGCCCAGGGGCATGCAGCAGGCAAGTGGTAGGCCAGGAGGGGACTCCCGTGTCTGTCCCTAGAGCTGCTACATGTGGTCATGCAGGTGACATATCACTCCCACGGAGCCCACTCGGTTGGTGGCTCCATCTCACAGATGTGAGCACCACAGCCTTACCCTCTCGTCTCCCTGAAATCTGATGGGACCCACAATAAAGGCTTCTCAGAAGACACTGGACAGGGGCCACCGCAGTGTGCTGAGCCTGTGAACCCACAGACACAAGTGACAAGGGCAATGAAGGTTTGCCTCGGTTGTTGGCTTCCCTGAGCGCATCTAGTTGTGAAGCTGATTGCACCCGGTAATGGCCTTGCTTTTGCGCAGCGCCCCTCACCCCCAGGAATGTAGCCCCCGTAGGTGGCTATGAGTTCGAGTGACTCCAGCTTACAGTGGCTTAAGCAAAGCAGGAGAGCTCGCTGGCACTCATAACTGGGAGGTTGGGACGGGCTGCCTGCAGGCACAGCTGGATCCAGGGCCCCAGATGGCAAGCACGAGAGCCCACTCTGGCCATCTCTCAGCTTTCCCCATGGGCCGCAGCAACTCTGGCCTCTCGAGTATCGGCTTCACAGCCCCTCAGCAGGGAGCGAGCACATCCCTCAGACATTTCTGGACGCTTCCAGGACGGCATGTCCTCAGGTCGGGCCCACGCCCCTTGCATCTTCTGAAACCCCTTGCTTGGGCTCCAGTCCAGACCTCCTTTCCCAGGACTTGGTTTCAACCTCCTGGGTGTCCTGTCTCTCCCTTGACCCCTCGGTCCCTCGAGGGGGACTGCTTTCTCTTTGTCCAAAATGCCAGGGGGACTGGTCCCCACGCTCTCACCTCCCACTGCCCCTGTAGTCTCCTGCAGGATGGTGGCTACGGTCTAACTTCAGTCCAGTCGCCCAGGGCCACGGCAGCCACGTCCGGCCCCCTCCCCGCGCGCCCCGGCCTGCGTGCTGCCCACCTGCCCTACTGGCTCCCGCGGCTGCTGAAACAAATTGTCACAATGTTGGTGACTTAACACAACACGCCTATGTTCTCTCACCGCCAGCCAGGGGGCTGGTCCAGGGGCAGGTGCTCCCCACCTCTCCAGCTCGGGGGCTCCGGCGCCCCTGGACTTGCCTCCATCTTCGCTCGGTTTCTCTCCCTGCTCCGGTCTCGAGTCCTGGCCCGTACGGTCTTATCAGGACCCTCGTCGTGAGACTGGGGGCCCGCCCTAATTCACGAGGAGCCACCCCGTGATCCTTGGTTATATCCGCAAAGACCCCTTTTTCCGGATAAGGCCCCCTCCTGGGTTCTGGGGCCACGGTTAAGCACTTCACCCACGACCCTCACCAGACCTGAGGAAACTCCAGCCGGAGCCGGACCCCCGGGTGGGTGGCTGTTCCACACTCCCCCAGCCTTGCCGCCGGGGGCCGCCACTCAGCGGGAGACCATGGCCCTGGGGCGCCCATCCGCCCCTCCTGGTGTCCCGACCCACCTGGCGCCCTGAGCCCCTCGCCGCCTCCTGGAGGCCCTCCGGGTTGCTCCTTCCTAGCTTTCCTAGCAGGCTCTGTGTGCAGACCCCTCTGTGCGCACTCAGGCCAGCAGCCTACGGGCCCCTGGCTCCCCAGCTTGTCTCCGGAGCTGTCCCACGCCTCACAGCCCACCCTCCACGCATCCCGGGGCTTTCTTCCCTCCCTTGGGAGCTTCAGTGGCACCCGGTGACTACAGACGGTCCAACCCATAGTCCCACTTGGACTCTGGGCCAATCCCACCCTGAGTTGCCTAGTGGTCCCATGGGCATTGTCCTCTGCTCCCGAGACCCGGAGAGGGAGGGGTGGCCCGTGTGGTCATCGCTCAGAGGTCCTTCGGGGACGAACAGGTGTTCGAACCCCTCCTGGAGGTGGGACTCAGACCCGTCTCCCCTTCTGCACAGTGAGACTGGGAGTCCCCCCCACCACACGGCACAGAGCCTGGCACCCCATCTTCACAGCGGCCACAGCTGTCCCTGTGCTTGGCCGTCGGCTGGGAGCGTCAGGGGGCCCAAGGCCCAGGAAACGGGGGGCCTGGCTGCACCACCTCCCCTCCGGACCCAACACCGTCATCCTCAGTCCGAATCCCTTCTGGAAGCCTAGGGAGCACGGGGGCTGGATCCGGGCTCCCCTCCCCTGATCCTCCCCCTCCCACGCCCACCCACCCCACACCACGCCAAGGGCTCACATGTAGTAAAAAGACTTTATTAAGAAGGCTTTGAAGTCAAAAAATAAAACTCTTGATACAATTTTCTGAACCCTTAAGTCAGCTCAGCAAATATATAATCAGTAATTTAGCTGTGTAAGATTAAAGGTCCGTTACTTTATTTAAAATAAAATATATTTTAGTTCTTAAAATTTATTTCATAAAGTACATATTTCCCTATAAATTCCCTACATATACACAAGAGGTAAAAAGTAAAAGTTTAAAAAAAACACAATTTAAAAAATTTAAAAACCGACAACAGAAACCACAGCAGAAGGGGATTAATAATTAAAAACAAAAAGTTAGAAATTTCTGGTTGGGCCCCCCGCCCCCACCCCGCCCCCTCCAGCCTGTCCCCCGCGGACGTACAAAAGGGCAACCGGTGGACCCCAAGAGGGCTCCTTGGGGGGATTCGCAGAGGCTGCGGCGGTGTCCGGAGCCAGCACTGTCAAGTCAGAAATCCGAGTCCCAAAGGACTAGCGAGAGTTGTAAAAATCATATATATATGTGTGTGTGTGTATATATATCATCTTTTTTTTTTCCTTAAAAAGATCACCCTGGGGGGCGGGGAGTCTTAAATAAAAAGTGCAAGCAGACCTTTTCTCTCTGGTTTATTTTAACCTGTCGACTCAATACTGTTTATTTGTTAGGAACTGAGATGCCGTCGGGCAGCCGTCTCCACGCCTGGGGCCGAGTTAAAGCTCGTCTGTGAAGGCTGGTCCCGCCGCCCGCCGCCCCGGCCCCCCGCCCCCGGCCCCGGCCCCCGCTAGGAAAAGATATGAATGGCCTGGGTGGCGGGCGTGCGGCAGGCCGGGCACTCGGGCTCGCTCTTGCCGCAGATGCGGACGGCGCAGTCCATGCAGAAGAGGTTGTGGCCGCAGGGCACCAGCGCGGCCATCGCCTCGCCCTCGGCGCACACCACGCACTCGCGCGCCAGGGCCGGGCCGGGGGCGGCTGGGGGCGGCGCGGCCGACGACGAGGACGACGACGAGGATGACGACGAGGACGCGGCTGGCGGGGGCTTGCGGCCGCCCTCGGAGGCCCCGGGGTCCAGGGGGGCGCACGGCGGGGCGGCCGCGGAGAAGCCGGCGCCGGGGAAGGAGGCCAGGGTGCCCTGCGCGGGCCGCCAGGCCAGGGCGCCCACCGGGTCGGGGGGGCCGGCGCGGCGGGCCAGCGGCAGCTCCAGGGCCAGGCCGCCGGGCTCGGGCAGCGTGGGCGAGTGGCGCGGCGAGCCGGTCCCGCTGCTGCGCCGGGCGCCCGGGGCGGGCGGCGCGGGGGCCCCGTTGACCGCCGAGCAGCCGCCGAAGGCCGGCAGCGGCGCCGCACGCTCGAACGGGGCCCAGATGGTGGCGGCGGCGGGCACGGTCAGGTCCAGCGCCAGGAAGTCGAAGCCGAAGTCACAGTCCTCGGGGGCGGGCGGCCCCGCCGGGGCCCCCGGGCCGTCGCCGCCGAATGTGAAGCCCCCGTTGCCCGAGCCGCCGCCTCCGTAGGGGCTGGTGGGGCCGGCCTCGGGCACTGGCGGCCCCCCACGGCCCCCCGCGTAGAAGGCCTCGGGGCCCCCGGGAGCCCCCAGGGCCGGGTCCCCGCGGAGGCTGGCAGTGGGCGCGGGGGGCCGCCGACCGGGGTTGGGGGCCTTTGCCCAGAGGCCAGCGGCCGTCCCGAGCAGGTCCAGGCAGACGTCGGTGCCGTTGGCGTGGAAGTCACTGTCGGGGCCCGCGTCGGTGAAGGCGCCCGTGCGCAGCGTGATGTGCGCCTCGATCTCCTCGCGCGCCCGGTCCACGTTCTCGGGCATGCCCGTCACGGCGAACACCGGCTCCTTGTCGCGCCCCGGCGTCACGATGTACGTGTGTGTCCGCTGCTGGATGCGCTTGATGGTGGCGCCCTTGGGCCCCACCACCAGCCCCACCACGCGGTAGGGCACGCGCACCTGGATGGTGGTCTGGCCCGGCAGGTTGGGCGGACCCTGCGCGGCGCCGGGCAGCCCGCCGGCCTTGCTGCGCGTGGCGCGGATCACGGAGAAGTGCTCGGCGGCGGACAGGATCTCGCGCTTGGCCATCTCCACGTCCTCCTTGCGGCCGGTCACGATGAAGACTGGCTCCTCCCCACGCACGGGCGTCTTGATGTACGTGTTTGTCTTAGCGCGCAGAGCCTTGATCTTGCACCCTGGAGGAGGCAGGGGGGAGACACTGTGAGGACGGGGACCCTCCCCAGGACAGCCCTTCCCAGGGGGCAGCTGCAGGGCCAGCCGGCGAGGGGGGCTGGGAGCCCCCACTGCTCTACGCACCCACCCGGGGCTGTATCCTCAGACACCCATCTCCCCGTGTCCCCTCTGGTCCCAAGCTTGACGTGTGGCACGTTGCAAGGCACGTTTAACCTTGTGGGTTAAACAGCGTCTCTCAAAATTCATGTCCACTGGGTCCTTGTGAACAGGACCTTACTGGGACACACCCTACTGGTGTAATTAGGGAACATGCAGTGGGGTGGCCCTGAAGCCATGACAGGTGTCCCTTAGAAGAGGAAGGACATGAAGACACGGAGAAGACAGACCACCCTGTGAGCAAGGAGCCACGGGCAGCCCAGGTACACGGATGGTCTGCAGAGCCCTCGACAGCACCCCCCGTCCAGCGGTGGGGTAGCCCGGGTCGGACTGCAGCATCCACCTAGGATTCTCTCCTGACCAGCGGGCCTCCCCAGCCCACGGGGGCCTGGGCCCCCCGCACCCTGCATAGGGCATCCCCAACCCGGCCCAGCCTGCAGGCAGCAGGGGGATCTGCACGGCGGGCAAGACGCAGGGTGTTCGGTGGGGGCGCCTGCAGGTGTCTCTTACCCCCACCCCAGGGCCTTTTGTGCCACCAGGAGTCGGGGCCCAGGAGTCCAGCAGACCCCCCTCCCGAGGCCGGAGGCACACGGGGCCACCGCGGCAAGAGAGGCTGGCACCGAGACAACAGCCCTGCTGACTTCTCCCAAGGAGAACACACAGTCAGGGGCGGCCGGGGGGGCAGCCTCACCCAGAGCCCAGGCGCAGCCCCCCCATCCCCTCTCCCGGGTCCTGGGCCACTGGCCCCCATGGCCTCACTGGCATCTCCCCCTGCCCCAGCCTCACGGCCCCCTGCACAACCTTTGCCATCTCCAAGTGTCCATCAGGTCACTGCCCAGCGCCCCCTCCTCCAGGAAGCCCACAGGGACTACAGCAGGGCCCCGGCACACACCCCTCAGCTGCTCCCGTTGGACCCTCCCAGCTCCCCGAGGCTGGCGGGCCGTGAGGGTCAGTGCGCTGGAGGACGCTGGCCTCCCGAAGGCCGGTCCTGTGCTCTGCTTCCTCGCCCGGAGAAGGGCCCAGACCCCGCGCCCCGGGCAGGTGCCTGCCGCCACGAGGCTCCCAGCCAGGGGATCACAACCCCACGTGAGGAGTCCCAGGCCCCGCGGGAGCAGGCAGGCAGGGCCAAGGGACAGGGGAACCCGCCGCAAGGGCGCCCTGGCACAGCTGGAGGGCAGCCCTGTTCGCGGTCCTGGAGCCCCAGATGGAGCCCGTGGGGCCGAGGGGACGCGTTCACTGGGCGCACTCGGTGGGACACCCACAGCGCCAAGCCCCACCCGCGCCACGGCCCTAAGAGGTGGCACCTGGAGAGAGTGGTGGGATGTGGCTCTGGGGAGTCGGGGCTACGGGTGACGGTGGGGCCAGGCCCCTGGGGGGCACGGGGGGCTGCTCGCCGGCCGAGGCCGACTCCTGGGCCACCAGGACACCGACTGGAGCAGGTGTGCCCGGGAGCCGGGTGACCGCCCAGCAATGCCCACCTCCCTCACACGGGGGTGGCGGGTCCCCACGCAGAACCTGAGCCCGCTGCTCGCATGCCCTCATTCTGGGGTCCCGACCCCCGCATGCTGGGCGCTCGGGAACTCAGGCGCTGCCCCCAGGGACCCCACAGTCACCACAGGCTTCGCTGATCAACCAGAACTGGAAGTCGTGAGGGGACAAGCCTCACTCTTGGAAGGACATGGGTCAGGGGAGGGCTCCTGGCCGAGCGACAGGCGGGTGGAGCCCTGGAAGCAGGACGGGGCTGGGACAGACCTCGGGATGCCCCTGCCCAACCCGGTGGGGTGCTGTCCCCAGAGCAGGGCCCAGGCAGGCTGGGCCACATCACGGCAGGGTGGCTCCGCGGGGGCAGCGGGCTCATCCCTCTAACAGGCTCGGAGACCCCCTCCGATGTGGGGAGGTCGGCGGCGGCCAACACAGGGAACCCCCAACCCGGGCCCAGAGAACCCCTTTCTTTCTGGGCCCCACCACCAGCCGCCAGGACGAGCAGCCAAGGCCTGCAGGGGTGGGGTCAGCGGGGGAGAGCGGTGAGCAAAGCGGGGGTCCCCGAGCTGAGGGGGGCCAGGCTGAGCCCCGGGCCCTGGCCACAGCAGCAGACAGAGGGGCCCGAGGGACGGCCGCCCTTCACCCACTCAGCAGGCAGGGGCCCCCAGGGACGCCCAGCGGGGGTGCACGCCGACGGGAGCCATGGTCACACGCGGGGCAAGCAGGCACCAGCCTCCCAGGTGACATTTGCTGACTCCCTTTGGAGTCTCCCTTTTCCTGTCTGTAAAAGGGGCCGTCACCCCCACCCTGCAGCTTCGGAGGGCACAAGTCCTCTCCGGGGCCACGTCCGTTCCCTCAGACAGAGCCAGGGCACTAAGGTTCGAATCACAGTCCTGCTGACCCAGCTTCGGCCCCTCCCGTGACCAGAAGCTACAGAGGGTCCGCTCGGGGGGATCTGGAGGCTCAGCGAGGCGGGGCAGGCCGAGGCTCCCACGCAGGGCACCTCTGGGCCACCCAGCCTCAGGGAGGAGGGCACTCTCGGGGGTGGTAACCACCTGCCCCGTCCCCGGGGGCTGCGCAGACCTGCTCTGGGATGGAAAAAACAGCTCAGAGAAGAGCAGATAAAGTGTCCGGGAAAGGGGAGACCGCAGGTCCGGGACTCTGGCCCCCTCCAGGGGATGGAGCGGCCCGCACCTGGGGTTGGGCAGGAGGCGGCGTTCCGAGCAGCTGTGGCCCTGCACTGGTGGAGGGACAGGCTGGAACCCCCCAAGGCAGAGAGCGGATGGGTGACGGCGGGGGTCAGGATCGGGGCACAGAAGAGAAGATGGGAGCCACAGAAGGTCCCAGAGGTGCTCCTGGAACGCCCTGTCCTGGCACCCTCCCCGGGACCCTGCACCTCACCTCGTACCAGCCGCCGCTGGGATTAGAACCCTCTTACTTGAGAATCCTCACAAAGCACCAGAGAGGATGCTGTCCCCCCCAACCCGTCACGGAGAGGAGATCTCCCCTGCCCGGGGTCACAGGGCCAGCCCAGGCAGCACCCCCGGAGCTGGCCTTGCTGTCTGCCAGCAGCAAGACCCCAAGCCGGCACCCGATAAACAGGTGGTGAAAGGCACACCCTGCAGGTTGGGGCGCGGGCTGACGCCCAAGCGTGCTCCTGCACAACCAAAGGACGTCCTTTGGGGTGGACTCAGCCTCTCTGGAGGGCCCTCCCGGGGTTCCGGAACGCACGCACTCCCAGGGAACACGCCCTCGTGCCCTGCGCCCCAGCAGCGCCCCAGCAGCGCCCCAGCAGCCTGTGGATCAGCCTTGTGACTTTGGGCAACAGCCCCCAAGCTGGTTCCCGCGTCTGTTGTCCCCCCACCCCCACCCTGTCACTGGCTTCTGGCCGGTCAGCACGTGGCAGCGGGCCTGTCACACGTCCTGGAGCAGATAATGGAGACTGGGGCAGGGGGTGGACGGGGCGGTCGGGCCTGGAGTCCTGCTCATGGGAGGCAGCCGACACGGCCCAGGGAACCACCTGTCCCCCGGCACTGCTCCCAACTCCTGGTCCCTCAGCCCAGCACCTCACCCGCTCCTGCTGCTGTCCAGATGTGGGGAGGGCCCGTGATTGGCTGCACCTTCACCCAAAGCCCCAGGACGCACTGGCCAACCACCCCTCCCACCCAGAACTCCGAGAGAGGCCCGAGCGGGAGCATCCCTGTGGTCCTCTGACCCCTGGCGGCAGGGGTGACAAGCCACCTTGCAATTCAAGCCCCCCCCCCCCCCCCCCCCCGGTCTGGGTCTCCGGCTCCTGTTACCGAGCCCGAAGGCCAGCCCGAGCCGAGCCAGCCCGAAGGCCAGCCGAGAGTCCGGCAGCTCCACCTCAAGCCCCGCCCAGTCCCCACCCCAGGTTCTAGAACCTGGCCGACGAGCAGGGAGTGGTGAACAGAAAGGTGCGGGCAGGAGGCAGGGGAAAGTGGGGCTGGGGCCGCCGGCTAAAAGGGGGGGGTGGGCGTGTGTCCGGAGGAGCTCTGCCCGCCACCCTCCTGCCCGCCCGCCCGCGCCGCAGCTCCGGCTCCGGCTCCAGGGCCAATGAGCGGCGGCCGGCCTGATGTCACCCTGCAAATCTCAGACCGGCTCTCTAACAAAGAGAACAATGGGGCGGCCGCAGGGACCGTCTGACAATGCTGCTGCCGGGACCCCCAGCCCGGCCCCGCGGCCCGCGCCCCCCCCCCCCCCCCCCCCGGGGCAGGCTCGTGCGGCCGGTCCTGCAGCACCGCCCCAGCTCCGAGCGGGGAGGGATCCTCTCGCCCGCCCCCCCCCCCCGCCCCGCCAGCAGGGCCTGCGAGTGGGGACGAGCGCCCTCGGTGTAGCAAACTTCTCTGCCGCCCCCGCGAGCCCCGCCCTGGGTGCCGGGCGCCCACCGCCGGGTGTCGGGAGCCCGCGGGCGGCCGGCGGCGCGCAGACAAAGGCCGCGGGGGGCGCGGGGGGCGCGGGCGGCGCCCAACTTTGTGGCGCGGCCCGCGCGGGACAAAGGCGCTCGCGGCCGCCGAGCCCGGGAGGGGAGCGCGGGCCGCGGGGTCCGGGGGGGCGGGGCGGGGCGGGCGGGGCGGGCTCCGGGGGCGGCGCCCCGGCCGCGGCCACTCACCCTGGCGGCCCACGATCTCGGCGACGTGCTCGGAGCTGGGCACGGGCACGCACTCGGTCATGTTCACGCTCTTCTTGCGGCTGCCGATCACGCTCATCGGCTCGGCCAGCAGGCCCGGCGCGCCCAGGGCCGCGGGGTGGGGCGCGAAGCCGGCGAACACGTCGGGCGGCGGCCGGGAGGGGGGCGGCGGCGGCGGCGGCGGCGGCGGCGGCGGCGGGCTCCCGCCGGGGTCCAGCAGCGCCAGCGGGCCGGGCGCCGCGGCCTCGGGCCCCGCGGGCGCCGCCGCCTCCCGGCCGTCGGGGGGCGCGGGCTCCGCCGCCCCGTCCGCGCCGCCCGCGCCGTCCCCGCCGCCCGCGCCCTCGTCGTCCGCGCCGCCCGCGCCGCGCAGCCCCAGCCCCAGCCCCAGCCCCAGCCCCGAGAGCTGCTCCAGCGCCAGGCGCAGCGCGGCGGGGCGGGCGGCGGGCGCGGCCTCCTCGGGGCCCGCGGGCGGCGGCGGCGGCGGCGGCGGCGGCGGCGGGGGGGGGCGCGGGCTGGGGTCGCCGCCGCCGCCGTCGGGCTGGCCGGAGGAGCCGGGCATGGCGGCGCTAGCGCTCGGGCCCGCGCCCCCGCCTCTCGCCCGCCGGCCGCCCGCGCCGCCGCCGCCGCCGCCCGCGCCGCCGCGCTCCGCCTCTGAGAGCTGGGCCGCCGGCCGCCGGCATCCAGCGGCGGGGCGGGCGGCGGGGCGGCGGCGGCGGCGGGGCTGCTCGGGCCGCGGGCGGCGGCGGCGGCGGCGGCGGCGGCGGCGGCGGCGCGACTCCTCTCGCTGCTCGGCGGCGGGCTCGGCGGCGGCGGCGGCGGCGGCGGCGGCGGCGCGGACGCTGCTTCCCTCCCGCGCGCCGCCCGCCGCCCTCCTCCGCGCCCAGCCCCGCCCCGCCCCGTGACGCGCGCGCGGCCAACAATGGGGCGTCGGCAGGGCGCAGGCGCGCGGGGCGGGGCGCGGTCACGTGGCGGGGCGGGGCGGGGCGGCCCAGGTAGGAGCCCGCGGGCCCCGCCCCCGCCCGCCTCGGCGCCCCCCCCGCGGCCCCGCGGCCCCCGCGGCCCGCACGCCCTGACCCGGGGGCGCCCGCGGGGGGCGGCGGGGCCCGAGCGGCGGCCACGTGGGCGGCGGCGCTTCCCGGGGCCCCCGCGGCCCCTGCACGACCCGCGGGCTGCGAGCATCCGCCCGAGCCCCGGCGACCCCGGCCGGGGGCCTGCCCTGCCGTCGAGCTGGGGGGGACACCCCGGGCCGGAGGTGGCAGCGGGAGCGGCCGGCAGCCCCCCCCCCGCCCACCGCCTCCGTCACCCCGGGTCGCCGCCACCCCCAGACTTCCCGACAGGTGCCTCCGAGGAGGGCCCCTCCGGCCTCCGTTGTCCTTCGTGGCCGCCCACGCCGCCTCCAGCCCGAGGGCCCCCCCGGGGTCCCAGGCTTCTCTCTGGTGCCCCTGAACACGCATGAGTGTGAACTACTTCGCCAGAACTGTGCCTACACCCATCCCCATGCGGCCAAGCGCCCGGAGGACCTGGAGGCACCCAGGAAGCGCCAAGCGCGGGGCTGGCCTGCCGGCTCCGGCCCCTCATCCCCCGGCCACAGGCCTTGTCCCTGTCTCGCCACAGAACTGTCCCCTGGTCCTTCAGCCCAGGGCGTGATCCTGGAGTCCAGGGATCGAGTCCCATGTCGGGCTCCCTGCATGGAGCCTGCTTCTCTCTCTTTCTCTCTCTCTCTTTCTCATAAATAATAATAAAAAATAAATAAAAATGAATAAAAAAAAAAAAAAGAACTGTCCACTGGTGCCCCAGGCCCAGCAGGACACGTCCAGGCCACAGGCCCCTTCCCCACCAGCACGCCCCCGTGGCCATGTCTGGGGTCCAGGTCTTGGCCCGAGCTGACGCTCCTTCCTGGCCCCCACCCAGCGTGGAGGAGCAGGTGGGTGGCCCTTCTGCTGAGCTGGAGGAGGGGGAGGGTAGGACAGAAGGGGGTGGGGGGGCTGGGGAGACATCGGAAAGAGACCACAGGAGAAAGTGTGGCGGTGACAGGTGGAGAACAGACGGCGTGCATGCCTGACCCGGGATGCACTTTCAGGGGTTATGCACCCACACTTATGTTCCTTAAGGCGAGCCGCAGGGCTGCAGCTGTGTACACGGCTCGTGAGGGCTGCAGCAGCGGATTCAGGGCCACCCCGCTCCCCGTGGCCTCACCTTCACTAATGACACCTGCAGGGATCCCTGGGTGGCGCAGCGGTTTGGCGCCTGCCTTTGGCCCAGGGCGCGATCCTGGAGACCCGGGATCGAATCCCATATCGGGCTCCCGGTGCATGGAGCCTGCTTCTCCCTCTGCCTGTGTCTCTGCCTCTCTCTCTCTCTCTCTCTCTCTCTCTCTCTCTCATAAATAAATAAATTTAAAAAAATGAAAAAATAAATGTTGAAAAAAAAAAAAACTAATGACACCTGCAGGCACCCTGTGTCCAAGTGGCCATTGCAATCCCAGTGGAGAGGTCTCCAGACGAGCAGGGTGCAGGGTGGCTCATGCCCTCTCCCCTGCCTCTCTGCTTCCCAGTTTCTGCTCTGGGCCAGAGACACATGTCCTCCTGGGGGGCTTGGGAGGGGACGCGGTGTCTACTGATGGGGGAGAAACAACAGAGTGGCGTGGGGGAACCTGCCCCCAGCTCCTGGCCGCCGCCTGGAGACACCAGGGTACCTGGGGGCCGTGGGGACTCTGCTCACACCGCAGGCATCCAGCCAACCGGAAGGTGACGGAGGACAGGCAACGACAGGGCTCGGGAGGTAGCACAATAGCCGGCCTTTAACTTCAGCAGGAAGTTGGAAGATTCCCGTTGAGGAAATCTAGAAAGTCAGGCAAGATGAGTGGGACCTGGGAGAGGAGGGAGAAACCAGAGGAACAGTCCGTGGGTCCCAGAGACACGGGCGGAATCGGAGGCAAGTTGTCCGAGCAATGACCGAAGGGGGCAGCCGGACCCCACAGCTTGTCCTGGGAGGACGTGGGAGCTGCTGGGGAGGGGGCCCTAAGGGCCCCCTAAGGGCTTCCGGGCCACATTCCAGAGGGTCAGGAAAGGAAGGCCTAGGATCCAGGGGAAAGCCATGGCTGATGCCAAGGTCTGCGTCCAGTGGGACGAAGAATCAGGACAGTGCAGGCTGGCGAGGTCCTCACCAGCCAGCTTGGCGTCCAGCAGGACGCACCCCAGAAAAACCCGGGGGGCCGTGAGCGACACAGGTGCGGCCCTGGGAAGGGGAGGGAGCCGGCTGGGCTGCGTGCAGGGGTGCTGTGGAGCCCACCGGCGGGAGAAAAGACAACCGGCAACTTCAGAAGGACACTGTTGTGCGAGCCGATGAGTCAGAAGAGGGGGACCTGGGGCTCCGGGGTCTTCACGTCCACACGGTCGGGCTGTGCGAGTGGTGACCTGTTGGGTGTTTGTGTGAGTGGACAGGAAGGGCCCCCGAGCCGGCGCACTTTAGACGTCCGTTCAGGGGCGCCTGGGGGCCGAGTCGGTGATCCCGGGGTCCTGCCGCTCCCCCCGACTCATGCTCTCGCTCGCTCTCTGTCAAATAAAATCTTCAAGGATAAAAAACTCCTCCTGTTCGACGTGCAAGCCGCAGCCCTGCACGCGGCGTGCAGGCTGGAGAGTGTAGGAGACAGGAGGTGGCACCTGCGGGGAGCGAGGGGTGGGCCGCGGGAGGCGGGGCAAGCCGGGCGCCAGTCTGCGGGGGGTGTCCTGGGCCCCCAGCCTGTCCGCCAGCCTCCCCAGCGTCGCCACAGCCTCGGCTCCGTGACCCCCGCAGCCACCAGTGCCTCCCGCCTTCCTGCTCTTTCCTGTGCTCTGAGCGGATGACCACAGACCCCGTGGCTTCGAGCACCAGTGTGTTGTGTCGAGGGCCCAGAAGTCCTAGGTCAAGGTGTGGAGGGCCGTGGGCTCCCCGAAGGCTCCAGGGAGGGTCCTCCCTGCCTCTCCAGCCCTGCGCGGCTGGCTGTGCTCGGCGCCCCCGGATGTGGACACGTCACCCCCATCTGTCCCCCGAATCAGGCGGCTTCTCCGTGTGCGTTTGTGTGTACATGGCTCGTGAGGGCTGCAGCAGTGGATTCAGGGCCACCCCGCTCCCCTGTGGCCTCGCCTTCACTAATGACACCTGCAGGCACTAATGACACGCTGTGTCCAAGTGAGATCCCACCCACAGATTTAGCGGTTGGGACAAGGAGAGTCTTTTTGGGAGACACAGGGCAGCGCACAGTACCTCCCCAGGCAGGACACCTGGAGTGTCTTCGGGGAGATGCCCCGGGTGCCCGTCCCCGGGTCGAGGCCGCTTACCCCTCGTGCCAGCCCGCGGGTAGGGGCAGGGCGCACGGCCGTGGCAGCGCTCCTGCAGCTCCGGCTGCGTCGGGATCCCACGGAAGCGCAGGGGCGGTGCTGGGAGGTGGCCTGGGCCCCCAGCGGCCTCCGTGACACCGGTGCCGGCGCTCGGGCTTCACTGGTCAGCACTTCAGACCCTTCCACGATAAGAAAAAATACACTTTCGTTAAAGATTTTATTTATTCCTTTTTTAAAAAAGATTTTATTTATTCATGATAGACATAGAGAGAGAGAGAGGCAGAGAGACACAGGAGGAGGGAGAAACGGGCTCCATGCCGGGAGCCCGACGCGGTACTCGATCCTGGGACCCTGGGGTCACGACCTGAGCCGAAGGCAGATGCTGAACCGCAGAGCCACCCAGGTGTCCCCCAAAATATATGTTTTTAGGTTTTAAAAACTGTAAAGTCAGCTTTACCTTCTCTCTACTTTTACCGACTCAAGTCATCACGACTTAAGGGAACCCGGGAAGGACTCCCCACCAGCACCCCCTGCTGGAGCTGCCTGGTGCTGGCGACAAAGCCCTGGGGAGGCAGGGTGCCAGGACACCATGCCCAGGGGCTCCCCCCCCCCCCCCGCCTGCACCGGGGAACTGAGAACCATCTTCAGTGTTCACAGCAGCCGGGAGGGACACACGGCCCAAGTGTCCATCCACGGGTGAGCGGGTACACACAGCGTGTCCCCTGCACACGGGCACGTCCCTGGGCCACATGAGCAGGAGCACGGCCCCCCCCACCGCCCCGGGGACGGACCCCAAGCCCACGATGCTCAGGGACGGAACCAGAGACAGGAGGCCCCACGGGGTGGGAGTCCACGTGTGTGACACGTCCAGGACAGGCTCGTCCACGCACGGGGAGGGGGCTCGGGGCTGGGGAGGGGGAGCAAGAAGGATAAAAAGCATAAAGGAAAATGTCAAAAGGAAGCAGCAAAACCCGCCCCAGAGGGTGGGTTCTGGGGGTTTTAGTGCTATTTGACCTCTTTGTTTTGAACTATGTGCTTTTTTTTTCAAACAGCTCCAGCTCCTTGGGGCGGCGGGGTGGGGGGGATGCCCAGTGACAGGGAGTGGGGCGGCCCTGGGGGTGGCAGGGGTGCCCTCCTCCTCCAACGGCAACGGCATGTTTGAAAGAGTAAGAAGTCGAGGGGAAAAATTACCCGAGAACATAAGCCACAAAGCTCCCTTGCGGGGACCGGTCCTCTTTTCAGCCTTGTCGCTCGGGAGGGTGTGGCGTGGGGCGGACTCCCCTTCTGAGAACGGGGGGGGGGGGGGGCTGTTGTTAGAGACATCATTTACACGCAAGGACGCGCGCCTTCCCCCCGCCCCAGGTTTTTATTTGAAATCTGGTTAGTTCACATCCAGTGTGACCGCAGTTGCAGAAAATGCAGCTGCTTTGCGGGTCACACTGATTGGTCAGCTCTGCTGGCCTGGGGGGGGGGTGGTGGTGGTGGGGAACCGGGCGGCCTCTTGTGCCCCTGGCTGTGGGCCCCGGGGACCCCTTGTCTCTTCTGGAGCTTCGCCCAGACGACTTGCCCTGTGCTGTCTCTTGTGGCAGGTTTCTTGAACCCAGCCCAAGTTGGTTTGTCTTTTTTTCCCGTTTTTTTAAAGAGATTCCCGGCCAGCAGTTGTGCGTCTGCGCTGCAGGCCGCCTGCTGCCCCCGCACGGCCGTGTGGGGACCCTCAGCCTCCTTCCTGACTGGCTGGGGTCGCTGCACACGCTTCAGGTCCCCTGACACTCTGAAATCTCCTTTTGCTTGTAAAATTGAGATGTGGTTTATGGCGCATCGACGTTTGCCCTTGCAGACAGTTCAGCGGTTTTTAGTAAATTCAAGAATCCGTGTAGTCCTCACGACTGGGGATGTCAGGACACTGTCATTATCCGAACAAGAAACCCCATCCCCGCTGGCAGCACCCGCACCCCCTATACTGGCACCGGCGAACCCGATTTCTGTCCCTGTGGATTTGCCTCTCCTGACCTTTCACAGAAGTGGAGTCGCACACTCTGGCTTCCCAGGGAAACTGAGGCAGAGGGATCCAGGGAGAGATCTCCAGAGGGAGCCGAGGGCACCAGACGCCACGGCCTCCGTCACGAGCTGGGGCCCGGGAGGGCCTGTGTGGGATCCAGGCCGCGTCCACAGGCCCGGAGGGGCAGGAGCGGACGGTCGGCTGGGTCAGGGGCAGAGAAGCTCGTTCGGCCCCGGCTGGGTGGACTGAGGCCGGGTCGACGGGACGTGTCTTCACTGCGTCTGCTGGATAAATGCTCACCTCTCCCGACACCCCCTTGGGCACACCCGGAACTCACACTTACCAGCTATGTGTGTGTGGGGGGGGACCCAGCCTGGCAAGTTGACAGAACATTAACATCACGTTTGGGAAAAAAAAATCACAGTCGCCTCCTGTGTCTGGGTCCCCCTGGGCGTCGTGGGCTCAGGGTTCGACCCAGGGCGGCTGCTCGCGGCCGAGCGTCCTGTGTGGACACGTGTGATAGAGCCTGGGGTTATTTCCACCTTTCGAGCGCCTTGGGTCTTGAGCAAGCCTTAGCTGATCCTACGGGCAGCGTCTCAGCGGCCCCTCCCCAGCAAAGGCTCGGAGCCCCTGTTCTAGAATGGTACTGGGCCGCGGAGCCTTCCGGGCGATGATGGAATGTTCTCCATGTGCTGTGGCTCAAGAGCCACCAGCCAGGTGTGCAGGGAATGGGGGGTTTAGTTAGTTGTAACCAATCAAACTGAACTAGCCGTGTGTGGCTGGGGGCCGTCCCGTTGGACTGTTCTAGAAGCTGAGCAGGCTGGTCCCTCTGCCCTGGCCTGGCCGGCCAGGTTTTGTTTTTTTTTTTTTAATTTTTATTTATTTTATGATAGTCACACACACACACACACACACACACACACACACACACACAGAGAGAGGCAGAGACATAGGCAGAAGGAGAAGCAGGCTCCATGCACCGGGAGCCCGACGTGGGATTCGATCCGGAGTCTCCAGATTGCACCCAGGGCCAAAGGCAGGCGCCAAACCGCTGCGCCACCCAGGGATCCCGGCCGGCCAGGTTTTGACCAGCAAACTCCCAATTTATTTTGCTGTGTTGCCGCCTCAGGTCACCCGTAGGGCCCCTTCCTCCTCCACCTACGTGGATCCCGAGTTCAACCAGTTCCCCAGCTTGTGTAGCAACTGCTCACGCTCACTCCCCTTGAGGTGGCAGCACGGGGGGGGGGGGGGGGGGGGTGCGGGGGCCTGGAGGTAACAGAGATGCTCAAGGCTGAGGCTGCAGGGCCAGGCCACGCCGGCTGCGCGCTGCCAGGAGACACAAGGAACCTTCAGGGTAATGGCTACGGAGTCCCCTACAGACGTCCCGGTCCTGGTCCCGGGAGCTGGGACGTGTCACCTCCCGCAGCAGAGGGACCTGGTCAAGGCGCTGGGGCGGGGTGACCCTGGGTCCCCGGGGGGCCTCCCAGAGACGGGCAGACCCCACGCTGCTGGCGGTGAGGACAGAGGAGGGGCCGCGAGCCCCGGAAGGCAGTGGGCAGGCAGGAGCAGGTCTCCCTGGGCCCCAGGGAACGAGGGGGTGACCAGCCCCATGTGGTTTTCTACAGCCAAGTTGGTGGTGACCCGTGCAGTGGCCCCGGGAGGCTCGCACAGGTGAGGCACCCTAGGATGGTCAGCGGAGTGGGGTGCAACATGGCTCCGAAAGCCTGTCTCGGGGCAGGGGCAGCTGGGCACCGGGTGAAGACGCGGGGTGGTTCTCTGTGGTGTGGACAGCCCTGAGCTGATGGTTCCAGAGTCAAGGGGCCCGGCAGGTGGTGTGGGGAGATGTTGGAGCAGCACCCGCCAGGTGACCTAGCTGCACAGAACCCCTCCTCAGCCCTTGCCACTAGGGATTTCTTTGGGGAGAAGAGAGAATTTGGGGGACCCACAACCTTGGAAAGGTGGCCTCAGCTCAGGGTCAGGATGAGCTCTCAGGTGGGGAAGGGCCCTGCTGTGGGGCTGGGGGCATCGGACCTTCACACCAACCACTGCCCTGGTCCTCGGTGCGGACGGACCCTTGGGCTGGGACCCTGATGGCATCCTAGCGTCTGAGGTCCCGAGGTCCGTGGCCCCCCAAGGGCTCTCTGGGCCTGCAGTCGGGGAGACTGGAGTTCTCAGCCAGTGGGCCCCCCTCCCGTGGCTCCTGAGCCTGTTCCCCTTCTGGGAGCTGGGCCCCCCAGGAGGGCAGGCTGACTGCAGGGTGGGGCCGGTGCCTGTGGGGTGACTGTGTGCGACGGGGGAGTGCAGGGCGCTCCAGGCAGCAGGGCAGGGCCCTGGGCACCCACCTGCCTCTGACCCCAGGTGGGCGGACCCTCTGCTGCTTGCGGATGCAGGGCAGGCGGTGGCCGGGCAGGGGGCAGCAGGGGTGAGATCCCGCCAGCGCTGGCTCCCCCACCCCAGCCCCCCGCAGAGCCCCCACTGCAGACTCCAGATGGACCCTCGTTAGTCTTCGGAGTCGTCGTGAGCGCGTCCGGTGCGGAGCCCACTGGGTCCAGTCGGGGCAGCAGGTGGCCCCGGGGGCGCTGAGGGCACTTCTGGAAACCTTGGCCAGACTGGCTCTTTCCACTGAGGAGCTGGGACCCGGAGCCCGCCCTCCCGGTCCCCCGGAGCCACACAGGGCCGGGCAGGGGCCGACACAGAGCCTCGGGTCCTCGGGAGGAAGCAAGGCTGCAGACCGCACTCACCGAGATGGCTTTATTCAACGGTCGCCCACAGGACGGGGTGCCTCCCGGGCCCCGCGGTCCCTCCCGCTGAGCAGGGCTCCGGGCCTCAGGCCCACGCAGGGGCCAGCCCCAGGCACAGCTCCCTCAGCGGGTGCAGCCTCCGTGAGGGGCAGGACGACATCGGCCTTGGGGGTGGCTCCCGAGGAGCTGTGCTTTGACTGGACCAGCGGGATGCTGCCGGCCGGCCGGGGCTGGCGTCCTGGGGTGCAGGGGCTCCGCCATCTGCCCACCCTCCGGGCCGGCCAGGGTGACGGCCACACGAGGCAGCAACCCGGGTCCTGCCTGACGGTCTCAGGCTGTGGGTCGGGGCCGCGCAGGGACAGGGTGGCTGCCCCGCCCAAGGCACTCGGGGCTGGAGGGTGCGGGACGAACGAACTCCACGCTGACTCCGTGCCCAGGGCTCCCAGGGGCCGTGGCTCCGGGCACCGGGAATCGCCGGGCCGCACAACACACCCCAGGCCGGGGGCTCCGAGGAGCCGCGGCCCCAGCGCCAGCTCTGGCCCCAAGCGAGGGGTGTCACTGTCCCGGCGACACGGGGGGGAGGGGGACGCGGATGCCGGCCGCCGGCGCAGCTGCCTTGGAGCCCCGCTGGGCGAGTCACGAGTTCTCCGTCCCGGGGGCTGGCTGCCCCTCAGGCAGGGCTGGGCGCGTGGGGACGGCGAGGTTTCCCGGCACGGAGGCCAGGGCTGGCGTCCACGTGCAGCACACACAAAGGCTAAGCAGTCATGCGGACGTCCAGCCTCACTGGCGTCACAGCTTTATTGAAGGACGCCTGGTGTGTGCCGCTCGGAGCCACGACGGCTTCGCCCGCTGGGGGCACGCAGGGGAGCCAGCCTGCACCTGGAGGGCTCCTGTGTCGACCCTGGAATATCGTCCCGCAGCTTGACTGTCCCAGAAAAAGTTCCTCCAGCCCCTGGGGGACCTCGCAGGCCGCCTGGGGGCAGCTGTCCTGTGTGAGGCGGCCGTGGGGACGAGGCCGGTCCCGAGTCCAGTGTGGAGTGATGGCTCCGAGGATGGCCTCCTGCAGGCGGGGCCCGGGGGCGACTGGCACTTCCGGACCCAGGCCGTTCAGAGAAGAGCAAACGTGGGGGCCCATCAGGCAGGGGCTGTCCTCCAGCCATGCCCCTGTGGGCCTGGGGGAGGGGACACGCCTGGGAAGGCCTAGGAGGGGCCGCCATCCTCCTGGGCTGGGCCACAGAGCCTGGTCCAAGTGTGGCAAAGCTGGACTTGGCAGTGGCTCCCCGCAGGCAGGGCTCCACGGGGCCTCTGGGAAGACAGGGAGAGGGCGCCATCAGTGCCCCGACGGGGAGACCGGCACAGCCGCCACCCTGCATGGCGCAGGCCCCAGGACCCTGGGCATGTCCCTCATCCCCACGGTCACCGTCCAAGCGCCAGCTGCATCCTGAAACCACCAGCCAGCCAGCACCTGCTCTAAACATGCTCCATCTCCTGGTCCTGGTCGGGCTCGTCCTCGTCCTCGTCCTCGTCGTCCTCATCATCCTCGTCCGCGCCGGTCTTGTCCAGCGGCGCCTCACCGTCCCGGGCCAGCTCCTCCACGTGGGCCAGCATGTCGGCCATCAGGGCCTCCTCCAGCCGCTTGCGCACCTGCTGTACCAGCTCCTCCTGCTTCCTGGGGACACATGGGCTGCGCTGGCCAGAGCTCGTCCCCGCGGTCCCCGCCTCCAGGACAGCAGGTGCCAGGACAGGAGGGAGGGTCCTCTGCCCTAGCTGGTGGCCCTCTGGCTCAGGGTCTGGGTCCTAACGCTCCACCTCTGCCAGCAGGTCCCAGACCCACATCCCTGGCTCCCTCTGCTGCTGCTCCTCCCAGTGCTCCCTGCGGGCACCGATTCAGTTAGCCCCCACCCGGGCACACCCGTCGGCTCTCCTCCTGGGCCCAGCGCACAGATGCACGTGAATCCGTCAGCTGAGCAGAGTTTGCAAAGAGAAAGTAGACAACGGGACGCCTGAGGGGCTCAGCGGTGGAGCATCTGCCTTGGGCTCAGGGGTGACCCTGGGTCCCAGGATCGAGTCCGGCATTGGGCTCCCTGCATGGAGCTGGCTGCTCCCTCTGCCTGGGTCTCTGCCTCTCTGTGTGTGTCTCTCATGAGGAAGTAAAATCTTAGAAAAAAGAATGGGACAGTCGCCTGCTGGGTGACAGGACCCTGCAGATGGAGCAGCTTTCTCAGGGGTTGCCCTCTGCTCTGGCCGCCTAGAAAGCGGTCAGCCTAGGCTGTGAGACCCTCAGCTTTCCTCCCTGCGGCCGAGACCCTGCCTGAAGGTGAACCAGCACCTGTGTCTGTCCCGGGTTCTGGCAAACGCTGGCTGCAGACTCTGCGACCCCCCGGCCCCAGACTCCACACCCCCTGCTGTGCTGCCACACTGCCAGCCGCCTGTCTCCTCTCCAGACAGGACCAGATCCCCTACCTAACCCATGACACGAGCTTCTCCTTTCCGTGGCTTTTCCTATTTTTAGAAGTTCTGCTTGGTTTTAAAAATCCGTCTAGTCTTTCCAGATGGTTGTGTTCTTTCCTTATACTTTCCATCTCCTGGAGACGAGCTCCTCTGTGAGGCTGTGGGCTATTCCGGGTCTTCACCAGAAGAGCGTGGGGCTCCCGTGTTGTACCGGCCTGGCTTCCCCACCCCGGTGCCCAGACGGGAAGCCCACCCGCCTCCGCCCCGGGGAAGCCCCTCCCGGCCGTGGCTGCTGTGGTTCCAGCCCCGAGTCTGTGTAGGGGCCACAGAGCCCCTAGCTGTCCTGACCTCAGCTGTGTGCTTATGCTTTAGCCCCAGAGGACGTGTGTTCCACTTTCCGGTGCTTCTAAATGCTCCTTGCCCTGCTGCCAGCTTGAACTAGCTCCTCACCAGGACGCCCTTCCAGATGGTTCTGGCAGATGGACGCCTCCTGCCCCGAGCCCACCTGCACCTAGACACTGGTTCGTCAGGGAAGCCCTCTGAGGCCCCCAGCCGCGGGGTCCAGCCTAAACCTGTGCTGGCATTCAGGGCCTGGGGCGTGTCTGGTGCCACCCCTCATTCACCCCGTGCTCCCTGCTCCACACGCCACTCTGCAGCCCCCTGGCAGGCACCTGGAAGGCCTCATGTGCCCAAGGACAGGCAGGCCACACTGCAAGCCTCTCCACACCGGTGAGGAGCCACTTTCTCTTCCTAAGAACATTCCTGAAGAGCAAGGGTGATTCCTGTTCCCTCTGCAGGCAGCCCCTGGCCTGCCCTCAACTCCAGACACACTGGCAGGCTCCTGTCGATGCTTTTCAAAACTGCCCTCGCTGGGGCTACGTCCGCCGCTAACCCCGGAGAGCGTTAGTAGAGGAATGTGACTGCGGGGAGACCGGGGGCGGGGGGGGGGAAGCATGCTGGCCACAGGCAAGGCTGGCGTGGGGGCATGTGCGGGCCAATACCTGATGTCCTCGTCGGTCACCATGAAGGCCTTGCAGAGGGGCTGGGCCGTGTTGAGCCACACCCCCGGGTTCTTCTCCACGGCGGCTGACAGCTGCCCCGTGATGGGCATGGTGCTGGTGTGCAGGGCGCTGGCGATGGCCGACAGCAGGGTCTCATCTGTGCAGCCAGGTCCCACGCCTACCAGGGCGGGCAGGGTGGTCACCACCTGGCACCTGAGGCCCTTCTCCCTTAGCCTGGGATCTCGTTCCCAAACCCCCCACTACAGGCGCTCAGGCCCGCTCGTGAGAAACGCAGAAGCTGCGCCTCTCAGGGACGGCGTGGTTGCATACGGCGCGGGAGCAAAACCACACACGCCAGGTCTCCTCAGGACACCCCGAGCCACACCTGTGGCCCCCCTGTGCTCCCAGACACCTGTCCTTCCCCGCTGCCCAGCCCAGCCCCAGCAGGCCGTGGCACTTGGCCCGTGGCGTGGTATTTAGGGTTGCTCCCCGTGCTGCAGAAGCCACCGGCTCCCCTGCACCTGGCCCCCTCCTACCCCAGAGTTACCTTGCAGGCCTTTGGGGAGGTCCATGGTCTTCACGAGCTCCTCAGCGATGTCGAAGGCATTCAGGCCACTCAGCTTCTTCTCCCAGAAAAGCTGCCACCAGACACACAGATGGGGCTGACGGACGTGCCTCCACAACAGGCAGCCCTGGCCAGGCACGCCGGTAGCTGGGTCCATGCACGCGTGGACAGCAGCGTCAGCACGACCTCTGCCCCCGACGTGCCTGAGCTACTTGCTTGGGAATGAGGGTTCTGCGGGACCAAGCGGGATTTCCGCCCAGGCCTGTCCTCCCAGCTCAGAGGCACGCGAGCCAGGATGTGAGCCCTGCCGTCGGTGCTGACAGTCTATGGTTCCCAAAACATGATACAATCCCACGCAGGCAAAGCGCCCTTTGCTCTGAAACTTCAGGAGTCCACCGTCCTCCCACAGCTGAGCTCGAGGCCCCCAGAGGTCCCAGCAGGCAAAGGGACCTGGTCAGCACCATCGACAGGCACCACCTGTGCAGGCAGGGGGCCCAGCGCCTCTGGAGGTGCAAGGAGCTCCGCCCGTGGGCGGCACCACAGGACTCGGGGACAGGGTGCGAAGAGGCATGGTCCGAAGCACGGGGACAGATGCTCAGGTCTGAGTGGTTACTAGAGGACTATGACCCAAAAGCCACCGAGGGGAGTGGAAATGACAAGGGGCCTCCTCGTGAGCGGCTCCCACAGCCTCCTGCCCCCGCCAGCACCTGCACGCCAGCTATCTGCTGGGCGTTTGTAACTATGCACAAAGGTACAGATAATCCTTGGATTTTAAGCGGCAGCTTACAAAGCACCATGTGCGTGACCTTACAGAACCACGCCCCACAAAACCACAAGCTCTCCCCCCAAACAGTGGCGAGAGGAAGCGTGTGGTGAGCGGGGCCAGGGTGGGGGCTTCCACTGCCGCAGACCCAAGCCCCCACCGCCCCCCTGCCCGCCAAGACCTTGTGGGGGGGCACGTGGGCTCACCTGCCGAGGCTGCTCCACAGCCTTCTGGGGGTCACTCTTCACCTTGTTGCTGGGGTGGTTGGTGATCTTGGTCACCGGCTGCTTGAAGATGGAAGCCGTCTGTCTGACGGGGAGGGCCGTGTTCAGGTCGGGCTTGCCCTGCAGAGACACACAAGCTGGCACTGCAGCCCCAGAGGCCTCCGCGGGCTCTCCCACGCAGCGGACGAGACCCCTCCCCTCTGGGCTTTGGGGAACAGATCGCTGTGTGTTGGTCACAGCGTACCCAGAGGCACCCCGGTTCTGGGGCCACAGTGGGGCCCTGGACCACACCTGCCCTGTGCCTGCCTCCTGCTCCTTGCTCTCCATGGAGCACAGTCCAGACAGTGCCCTGGCTGGTGCTGTCCTGCAGCCAGGACCAAAGTCACCCTGGACGCACATCCATCAGACTGGTAGACAGTGTCACCAGGCACCCCCATGTGGCCCATCAGCTGTGGGAGACGTGCTGCTTTCTCTCTCTGTCATTTTTAAAGAGTTTATTTATTAACGAGAGACACACAGAGAGAGAGACAGAGACCCAGGCAGAGGGAGAAGCAGGCTCCCTGCGGGGACCCCGATGCGGGACTCGATCCCGGGACCCCGGGGTCACTCCCCGAGCCACAGGGAGCCGTTCCACCGCTGAGCCCCCGGGCGTTCCATAAGTGCTGCTTTCCAGACCCTGCAGGGACGCCAGCTGTGCCAGGCTCGGGGAGAGTGCGACAGGCACACACACCGGGCACAGCTGGGGACCAACTGCAGGGCCAGCTGCAGGCCCATGGCCTCTCTCAGGGACAAAGTGAAGAGGATTCTTTCCCCTCTTTCAACTCTTCTGTAACTTCCAAATGTCCTTCAAGAGACAGTTATAACTCTAACACCAGGACAAGTAACGTCAATTGTGGAAGCCTCGCTCTACACCCCAAACTAGAGTTGCGGGTTTTTTCATCTTACAGTTTTTCTTAAAGATTTACTTATTGGGCAGCCCGGGTGGCTCAGCGGTTTAGCGCCACCTTCGGCCCAGGGTGTGATCCTGGAGATCCAGGATCGAGTCCCATGTCCGGCTCCCTGCGTGGAGCCTGCTTCCCCTTTGCCTGTGTCTCTGCCTCTCTCTCTCTGTGTGTCTCTCATGAATAAATAAGTAAAATCTTAAAAAAAAAAAAGAAAAAAAGATTTACTTATTTTAGAGAGAGCGCACAGCAGGGGGAGGGGCAGAGCAGCAGACCCCTCAGATTGCAGAGCCCGCCGTGGCGCTCAACCCCAGGACCAGGACCACGAGCTCACGACAAGACCCGACTGCGGATGTTCACTGCCATCCAGCTGCCCTGTCAATGCCTGCGTTTTTGTTCTTAAAGTAACCTCTATGCCCAACATGTGACTTGAACTCAGGGCCCCAAGATCGGGAACCACACGCTCCACCGACTGCACCAGTCGGGCGGCCCCGAAGCGGGTCTGAGCAGTGAGCCCAAGGCCCGGAGCTCACCTTGACCTGGTTCGAGGAGTCATAGCGGACCCTCTGGCGGCTCCTGTTCATCTTGCTCATGAGCATCTTGCCCGTCCGGAAGTCGAAGGTGCTCAGGTCCATGGAGCCCCCCAGGTACCGTGCCAGCTGGGGCTTGCTCCGGAACTTCTTCCCACTGGGGCTGCGGACGGAGAGGGGGTCAGCGGTGGGCAGGCGCGGCGTGCTGGGCCAACCCTTGCCCTCTCCCCAGTGCGGCCTCCCGACGGGGCCCTGGCAGACACCGGGGCTGAGAGCAGGGACGAGCTCTCTGAGTAAATGCCCTGACTACGGAAGGGTGGGGCCCAGCCCCGGGAGCCCTGGGAGCCCAGCTGACATCTCAGAACGTTCCAGAAACAGAATTAGGCTATGTTCTTGAGAAAAAGACCCCAGAATAGGTTTTGAGGGAGAGCCCCTAACAACAGTCTCCTTGTGGGTGCCGTGTTGGGGACTAGGGTGTCCTGGGATGGGGGCTGTAAAATCTCATGTTAAGGTTCAGGGCTAGGACCCCAAATAGCTGCTCAGGTGTGACCTGTTGGGAAATCCGAAACCAGGTGTTCTGAAGACCTGGCTACGAAGCTCTGCCGTCCTGCTCACCTTGTGGACAGCACAGGCCGCCCACCTCTCTAGGAAACCAGTGATGCCAACCCACAGGGCTGCTGTGCCGAGTCAAGGAGGCTGTACTAGGAGGAACCAGCACAGGACCAGCAGGCATTAACCCGGAACACCAACTGCTGCAGCCACTGCGAACGACAGGCAGGTGGCTCCTCAGACTGAACAGCAACCCCACACTCGGGATCTACCTGAGAGAATGAACATGTTTGCGCAAAACATACAGCCGGGTGTTCAGAGCAGCGAGGCTCACAGAAGGTAGGACGTAAAAACAGCCCCAAGTGTCCACTGGCGGGAGAGCGAATATACAGTGTGTCGTCCGCCCCCCCATGGACATGTCCCTTGGCTGTGAACGGGAGTGACGCCCCCCACCCGCCCCGGGGACGTACCCCGAGGCCCCGACGCTCAGGGAGGGAACCGGACACAGCAGGCCCCACGGGGTGTGACTCCATGTGTGTGACATGTCCAGGACGGCCTCGTCCATGGATGGGGAGGGGGCTCAAGGGTGACAGCTAATGGGGCCAGGGCTGCTTTTGGGGACATGGAATGTTTGGAGGTTGGCCCTGGTGACGGCTGTAGGGCTCTGTGATACAATAACCACTGACTCGTGCACTTTAGGAGGGTGAGCCGTGTGCCGTGGGGATCACGTCTCCATCAGGCTGTGAGAAAGCACTTGTGGGGGGGCCCGGGGGGCCTGGCGCTTTCCGGAGATGGCGCAGCTACCAACTCAGGTCACTCCGCTGCTGTTGGCTCCTCAGCCTGAGATGCTAAGTGCTTGATTTTGTTGATCTCCCCTGAAAAACCTCTCAGACGAGCCTCTCACTCAAACAACAGCATGTCTGGTCCCCAAACCCCAGTCGGGACAATGGAGGGCAGCGTGGAACCTGGTCCAGCCACAGCGAAACCCCCTCCTGCAGCGTCAGGACCCAAACGGCGGCCTGCCGCACTCAGCTCTGGATCCCCCCACCCCCTGCGGGCAGGGCCGGGGGGGGGTGGGGGTGGGTGTGTGTGTGTGTGTGTGTGTGTGTGTGTGTGTGAAGCCAAGTCAGCCCGACCCCCGCTCTGAGGCCACCAGGGACTCTGCGGGGCAATTCGCTCCCCCCCGCCCCACCCCTGCGCTGCCTGGTGCACAGAGAGCCTACGAGCTGGGTTGGCGGGCAGGAGCCGGGGTCCAATACGACAGCAAAGAGGAAGGAGGACCCCACGAAACTCGCCAGTGTCTGTTTGCCTCCACTCGCCACCCCGCACACACACTACACAAGGACAGGAACTAGAGCAGGTAAGTGGCTGCTTAGGACCGCACCATGGGGTACGGGGAATTGACAGTTAAGGGTCTGGGGCTGTTTCGGGGTGAGGAAAGTATCCTAAAATTGACCGTGGAGGGGGCCACACCTGTAAATATGCTAGAAACTATTGAACTATACACTTGAAATGGATGATCTGTATTCAGTATGAATCCTAATCTCAATAAAAACTATTTTTCTACAAAAGCAAGACAAAAAGTGAATTAGTAGATCCCAGGGGCTGGGGGGGGGGCATCTGGGGGTGATGGAATGTTCTGGAACTAGAGGTGACGGCCACACGACTTTGTAGGACTGAAATCCACTTGACAGTACACTTGTAAAGGATGGACTGGACAGAATGTGGACTAGATCTCAAGCTTTAAAACCAGTCCTACAGATCCACAGCTCAGTATGGACACAGGAGAACGTCCCTAAGATTTTATTGAAAACCACCACTACCCTGGAATTAATCGGAGCACACGTACAGAAGTCAAAGAGCAAGACGGCCTCTCTGGGAGCAGGGCCTCACTGGGAGGGCACAGACCAGGAGCTCCAGGCATGGGGATGGGGGCTGCGGCTGGCATGTCCGGGGGCTGGTTGTGGGGCTAGGAGCCACCACTCGGCCTCGAGCCTCAGGCCAGGACGTGGGTATAGGACTGAAACACAGCCTGGCTTCTAGTCTGTAGGAAGGGCTGCTGTGCCAGTCGCCAGGACCAGTGAGTGGGCACCGACGAGAATGAGGCCCGGAGCCCACGATGCCCCAGGGGGCCCTGACGCTGAGTCCGTCCTGCTTCTCCTGAGGGTTTCCACTTCTGACATGAGATGTCCTGGGGGAGTCCTCTCTACTTTGTACCTGTCCAACAGCGAGCCCCGAGGTCGGGGTACTAACTTCCCACAAACCCTCAACCTCCTGCCTGGACACAGAATATCACGGTGAGATTATTTTCACAAAGAACACATGGCCGCAGCCTGAGGATTCAGCCCCAGGTAACGTTTGTGAGGTCACCTTGCGAAGAACACACTCCCTCCCCCGCTTGCTGGAGAAGGAAACCAAGGCCCAAGTATTCCAAGGGACAAGGCTTTGACTGCAAACCAGGTCTGTTTGACCCAAAGCCCTCAAGCTCTACTTTCCTCTGCCTTAAGAGAATTAGGCAAATCCATCCATGCTCTTGCCCCGTTGCTGGTTCAGCCGGCGCTCCAGGAGGTGGAGACACCAGAGATCCACATTCTAGACAACACCATGGGTTCCACGTCACATTCCCCCAAACCTCCCACCCACTGGGAGGGCAGGTGACACCCTCCTGCCCGGCGGGTCACCCAGGTCAGACCTGGGAGTGGTGCCGCTCATGTACACAGAGCCCACGCGCACCACCTGCCCTCCCCACTCCCCTCAGGCCCCACCTCTCAGTGGAGTCACAGGAAAGCTGGAGTTCCATCTGTCCAGCCTCTTCGGAGCTTTTCCCCATACTCAGGTCTAGGGACTCAGAGGAAGGCCCCATGTGGCGGAGGCCCTGAGAGGCCCGCGTAGAGATGGGGACAGGAGGTGGATCAACGTTATTCTCCAGGTGCTCTGGCCATGCTGCCCTTGGCTCGGCCTCCTGCGGCCTCTGCACGGGATGCCCCTGCCCGGACAGCTCCCTTCAGCTCCACTGCCAGGGCCCAGCTCAGTGGCACCCTTTCAGAAAGGCCCTCCTTGACCTGCCCCAGCCTCAGCCCAGCACCCCATTACTGGCCCTCGCAGACCCCTGAGCTTCTCTGTGAATGTCACCACCTGTAACTACAGGAGTCGCGGGGTCCCACTCCCAGCTCCACGGCCAGGACACGCAGCAGGTGCTGCAGAGGCAACTGTTCAGTTAACAAAGGACCAGAGCCAGAGAGACCCGCTTCAGCCTTCCGCCTAGACACGTGTGGAAAACGAGGGCCTCGGACCTCCTCACTGACCCGGCGGACAGAGCCGCGCGGATCCACGCGGATCCAGGCTTCATCGCAACAGACACGGGCAGTGCCCGCGTCGGAGACAGGCTGCCCGCAAGCCCGCTCCCTCCGGGCCCCAACAGGGCCGCTGCTCTTCGGGGAAGCCAGCCCCGCGCTGGTCCTGACAGCTGCCCTCCCTCCCCTGCTCACCGCCCTCCTGCAGCCAAGGCCCATGAGCGACCCCACTGCGGGGTGCACGCGCAGCACCCCCAGCACCCCCGCCCCGATCGGCCCCAGCCGGCAGCTTCTGGGCCCGGGCCCCCAGTACCGGCCCGCGCCCAGCACGTGGCCGGGGCCCCCTTTACGTGGTCCAGCGACCTGAACGCGCCCCAGGATCGTGCAGCAAGGGGGAGGGAGCCACCAGAGCTGGCTCAGGAACAAAAGCATCTTCCAGCATTCAGGAAGAGGAGGGGAGGGAGGAGGAAAGCAGCAGGTGGCCGCCGGCCTGCCGCCCACTACTTCTGTCTCCCCAGGCCGCGGCGGCCCTCGGTCCAGCCCGGGGGCCGGGAGCCCGCCGCCCCGCCCTCCGCGCCCCCGCCCCCGCCCCGGGCTGCGCGCGCCCGGCCGATCCGAGGGACAGCCCAGCCCCCACCCCCGCCTCCCAGCGGCGTCTGGCCCGCGCCCGGCGCCCCTCGCCCCGCCAGCCCGGCCGCCGCGGCCGCCGCGGCCGCCGAACAAAGGCCGCCGCCCGCCCCGCGCCGCTCGGCGCTCCACGCGGCCGCGGGGGGAGGGGCACGCACGCGCACTGGCCCGGGGCCGCCGCGCGCCGGCACGCACGCACGCACGCACGACGCACGCGCGGGGCCCAGGCCGCAGCCCGGGTCGAGGCGCCCAGGCCGCCGCAGAGGCCGCTGGGAGGCGCCCGTTGGGGCCCTGCCCGGCCGGCACGTTCATTCACCTATAGTAAAAGACATCCCTGTGGCCGGCCGACAGCCCCGACCTTCTGGGCACTTCTTCCCTCTCCCAGCCCTGCGGGAGCGCCGGGCACTCCCACCTCTTCCGCTCCATCGCGCCCGGCTCCTCGGCCCGCCGCCGCCGCCGCCGCCGCCCGGACCCCCGCTCGACGCCGCCGCCTCAGCTGCCTCCGTCGCCGCCGCCGCCGCCACTTGCCGCGGCTGTTCCGGCCCGCGGGCCCCCGCCCTCCGCCCCCAGCCGGGCACGCGCCGGCTTTGCCGCCCTCTCGGCCCCCTCCCCGCGCTCGCCAGCCCCCGCTCGGGGGGCCGCGCTCCGCCCACCCGCCCGCGCGCGGGGCCCCGTGCTGCGCAGGCGCCGCGCGGGACCCGCCCCGTGGGCGCCAGCCCCGCCCCGCGGCGGCGGCTCCAATCAGCGCGGGGCTCGGGGGCGGGGCTGGGGAGGAGCGCCGCCCCCTGCCCGCCCGCCCCGCGCCTGCGCCTGCGCCCTGTGGCCCGCGAGCCGCCGGCCGCCGCACGGTCCCGAGGTGGCCGCCCGGTACCGGGCCGTCGTCCGTCCCGCCGCGCGGCCTCCCAGCCTGCGGGCGTTGTTGCTGACCGCCGCCCTGCACGCCCCGGGTCCCTTCCTCCCCCCGCGCCCCGCGAGAGCCCGGCGGCTTCCCCTCAGCCCCTCCCCTCGCCGGCCCAGGGCAGGTGCTCGGGACTTGGGGTGATGGAGCCGAGGTCAGTGCCCGGAGACCGCTGGGCCTCCTGTCCTGGCGCCGGGGGACGCAGAGCGGCGGCCGTACCCCCGCGTCTCCCCTGCAGGTGTCTCCCCAGCTCAGGTCCCAGCGGGGCCCGGCCCCCCAGGACCACGCGTGGGGCGCCGGTGAAGCTCGACGGCCTGCTGCAGGTCTTCAGGCGCACGGCGACTTCTCACGGTTCCCCACGTGTCCCCGTGCTGCCGTCTGACAGATACAGGGCAGAGCGGCCAGGTGGGCGCCCGAGCTGTCACCGTGCGAAGCTGGCTGGGGGCACTGCATTCCCTTGTGCAGAGTTGAGGCCAGAACCCAGAACGTCGGGACGCTGACCTTCGTGGAGGGCAATGCTGGGTGCTGCTGGGCTTGCATTTTACCAGCTTGAATGGTTTTATTTAACTTAAAAGTTGTAAAGTCAGGACACCTGGGGGGCTCAGCTGTTGAGGGTCTGCCTTTGGCTCAGGGCGCAATCCTGGAGTCCTGGGATGGGGTCCCATACTGGGCTCCCGGCATGGAGCCTGCTTCTCCCTCTGTGTCTCTCATGAATAAAATCTTGTTTTCAAAGATTTTATTTGTTTGACACAGAGCACAGAAGCAGGAGGAGCGGCAGGCAGAGGGAGAGGGAGAAGCAGCTCCTGCGGAGCAGGGAGCTCGGTTGTGGGACTCGACCCCAAGACCATGAGATCATGACCTGAGTCAAAGGCAGATGCTCAACCCACTGAGCCACCCAGGCATCCTGGCATTTAATTTTTAGAACAGCCACACTTTTTTTTTTTTTAAGATTTTATTTATTCATGAGAGAGAGAGAGGCAGAGACACAGGCAGAGGGAAAAGCAGGCCCCACGCAGGGAGCCAGACGTGGGACTCGATCCGGGGTCTCCAGGATCACATCCTGGGCCAAAGGCAGGCACTAAACCACTGAGCCACCCAGGGGTCCCCAGCCAAACTGCCCCATTTCACATTCCTGCCAGTGGTGCATGAGGAGGAGGCTGGGCATCCTGGCACCATAGATCCATCCACTATTCAGTCATCTTTTCCTGAGCACCTGCCCTGGGCCAGCAAGGGGAGGGGTGAGAAGGGAAGCCACCTGGTCTTTTGAGCTGGGGGGTGGAAGGGGTTGGGGGGAGGGCTCATTTCACCACACTGTCGATGTTTACTTTCTGGTTTTTGTTAGTACCATGTTGATGGATATATGGTGTAGGTCATAAGATTTGACCCTAAGAACCACCATCGGAAACGCACCCTAGGAGCCTCCTCTCTGTTCTCAGGCATCCAGCTTGCTGGACCTCACTTGCTTCTGTGGGACTTTGACCCCCTGGGCCCTAGGATGTCTCCAGAACGTATTCAGCTGGCCTGTGGGCACTGCATGATCGCAAGGGGCCAATCCAGGTGGACATGATCAGGGTGCCAGCAGGGATGGGAGGCCAGGAGCCCTGGGAGGGGGCGGCAGTTGCGTGCCTCTCCTGGTTTGCTGGCACTCGGAAGCTCCCTTTCCTGGGCTGGCTGGCTCAGGCCGCAAGCAGACACCCTCTACTGCCCATGTACACGAGCTAAGAAATAGAAACGAAATCTGGTGACATAAGGAGCCACTTTGACAGGGCCTCTCCCCTCAGTATTGTGGACCTTGGGGCTGGGTGATTGCGGGCGTCCTGGGTGCTGTGGGGGACTGAGCAGCATCCCTCGCCTCACCCACTCAATGCCAGGACTCCCCCAGTCTGGACAACCACAGATCTCCCCAGTCAGCAGTTCCTGAGTTCACGGGAGGCAAGCACGCCACTCAGCTGCGGCACAGAACGTAAACGGTCCCAGAGACCTCAGCATCAAGATGAATGGCATTTACTGCAGTGTTGTAACAACTTAAATGCAAAAGATCCATGATAGACAAAATGTCAAATTTGTACTTTTTAAAAAAGATTTTATTTAGAGACAGTACGTAGTAGGGTGGGGAGACGGAGAATCTTAGGCAGATACCAAGCCCAACAGGGGGCTCGATCCAACGAACCAGAGACCATGACCTGAGCTGAAATCAAGAGTCAGCTGCTTTGACAACAGAGCCACCCAGATACCTCCAAGTTTGTTTTCAATTTTTACTTAAATTTTACTTTTTTCTGTAAATCTTGCTATACCCAACGTGGGGCCCAAACTCCTAACCCCGAGATCAAGAGTCACATGTTCTCCTGAGCCAGCCACGAACCCCAATTTATTTAAGATTTTTATTTACTTGGCAGAAAGGGAGAGTAAGAACACAAGCAAGGGGAGAAGCAGACTCCCTGATGAGCAGGGAGCCCAACATGGGGCCCCATTTCAGGACCCTGATATCATGACCTGAGCCCAAGGCAGACGCTTAACTGAATGAGCCACCCAGGCACCCGACAGTTTACTTAAGTAATCTCCATGCCCAATGTGGGGCTCAAACTCATGACCCCCGAGATCAAGAGTTGCATATTCTACCGACTGAGCCACCCAGGCGCCTCCAAGATGTGAATTTTTTTTTTTTAGAGGTGTTAACATATTTTTTTTTCTTCAAGATTTTATTTATTCACAACAGAGACAGAGACTCAGGCAGAGGGAGAAGCAGGCTCCATGCAGGGAACCTGATGTGGGACTCAATCCCAGGTCTTCAGGATCATGCCCCGGGCTGAAGGCGGCGCTAAACTGCTGAGCCATCTGGGCTGCCTCTCTCTCTCTCTCTCTCTATATATATATATATATATATTTTAAGATTTTATTTATTTATTCATGAGAGACACACACAGGCAGAAGGGAGAAGCAGGCTCCTTGCAGGGACCCCGGGATCATGCCAAAGGCAGATGCTTATCCATTGAGCCACCCAGGCATCCCAAAAAATATGAGTTTTAAATAAAGGGCTTCATGGCATCGTGCTGAGCCATTTCAAACCGGAGACAACATGAGAGCTGTGATCTTTTATAGATGTTTTTAATGGTTAACTTTCCACCCAGACTTAAGTGGTTGGAAAGGTATTAAAATACTGGGGGGAAAAAAATACTGAAAATTTGTATTAAAGCTCACAGTAGGGGCAGCCCCATGACGCAGTGGTTTAGCGCCACCTGCAGCCCGGGGTGTGATCCTGGAGACCCGGATAGAGTCCCATGTCGGGCTCCCTGCAGGGAGCCTGCCTCTCCCTCTCTCTCTCAATAAATAAATCTCTAAGAGAAAAAAAAAAAAAGCTCACAGTACTTTCAATTTAATGTATAACAATCTGAATTAGAATTTTATTTTTCTGGCTCTCATGGAAGCAAGCTCACCTGTATTTTCTTAAAAGGTGTTCAGCATCATTAAATCACAGTTGTGGGAAGGGGGCCGCAGGTTTCCTTCCACTTCGGGCCACACGGCTCTGCGCTGCCTCGGGGGCGGTGGGACCGCCCAGCCCTGCAGGGGCTGGAAACTTAAAAACAAAACAAACTTAGGAGTAACTCCTTTGTCTCGTGGCCCCTCCCTTGTTAGGTTTTGAGCAGCACATCTATTTATAAATTGCTGAAAAGACCTCACTGCAGAGAACAGCGAGTGACAGGATTTATTGAGAGCAGTTTGAGTGTTGGCACGTAGCAGCCATTTCAAAGCGGAGCACCGGGCCCCAAATGGCTTGAGCCCCAGGAAAGATGCCTTTGGTAAAAAAAAAATGATGTGCAGAAGGGGTGTCATCAGTGCCACTGCTTGTGTTAAAATCACCCCTGTTGGGCAGCCCAGGTGGCCCAGTGCTTTGGCGCTGCCTTTGACCCAGGGTGTGATCCTGGAGACCCGGGATCGAGTCCTGCATCAGGCTCCCTGCATGGAGCCTGCTTCTCTCCCTCCCTCTGCCTGTGTCTCTGCCTCTCTCTGTGTTTGTCATGAATAAATAAAATCTTAAAAAAGAAAAAAAAAAGATAAAGAAAAATCACCCGTTCCTAACACCTGACCCCCTCCACCTGCATCCAGTGAAGCCCCAACCCCGGGCGGCTGCTGGAGGTGACCCGGGATGTTAGGTGAGGTCAGGAGGGTGGGGCCGTGTCCCCAGAGGATTAGTGGCCCAGGACACTGGGAGCACGCACCCTCCGCGCCCCCCACAGGGGAATCAGGGGAAAGCAGGATGCAGCAAAACCCAGAATCTTGACCTCAACCTTCTGCCTCTAGAACTGATCTGCTTAAGCTCCCAAGTCTGTGGGGTTTCCCTATGGCCGACTAACATGGGAGTGGTTTTCACAAGTAAGCTTTGACACACACGTAGCTTCTAGAATTTTCAAGAACAGGGCAGGGGCCAGAGGGAGGAAAGGGAGTGCCAGAGATTCTTGTGTACCTGCTCGTTTCTGTATCCTTCAGGTGAGGGCTTCACTTTCCTACAAGTTCTGATCTTTGTTCTTTTAAAACGGAGCCAAAGGGATCCCCGGGTGGCGCAGCGGTTTGGCGCCTGCCTTTGGCCCGGGGCACGATCCTGGAGACCTGGGATCGAATCCCATGTTGGGCTCTCTGCATGGGGCCTGCTTCTCCCTCTGCCTGTGTCTCTGCCTCTCTGTCTCTCTCGGTGTAACTATCATGAATAAATAAATAAAATCTTAAAAAAAAAAAAAAAAAAAAAAACGGAGCCAAGGTCTCTGTACCGTGAGTGTGGGCTGGATGTGGGGATGTGTTTTCTAACAGTGGAAAAAGTGATGGTGCAAGACTTTGGGGGGAAGGTCCTAAGACATGTGTCTTCCACACACGTCTTCCACCCGCAAAGATGCTAGGAGAAGCCCACGCCGCAAACCAACAGCTCCCACCCCAGTCCGGCCTTCCGACCAGCAGCCCTGGCTGACACCTTGACTGCATCCTCCTGAGTAACTGGAGCCAGGACCACGTAACTAACCTTCTCCTAAATTCTCACCCCCAGACGTTGAGCGGTAACGGAGATTTGCTGTTTGACACACTGCCTCCCCCACCCCGGGTCATTCAGGCCACCAGGGTTACGTCACGGTAACCACGTCCCCATCATGACCAAGTCCAGGTGGGGCAGGTTTCAGAGCAAGGTTTAATGCTGTGTGCACTCAAACATGAAAGCTATCTTCAGAAAGAGTCCTCGGTCATGCTGTCCGTGTCCCTAAGGTCCATCCTGAGGGCGTGGGCAGGTCCAGGCACGGCAAGGGCTCACAGAGAGGCGACAGCACCCGCCAACACCTGGAGGGGAGACAGGGCAGGGTGGGCATTAGACTCCAGGCTCCCATCCTTGCAAGGAGGGAGGCGCTGAGTGATGAGGTCTGCACACTGCAGCCAGCCTCCAAAGTCAAAGCTGGCTATGCCACATAGTTGCTGCATGGACAGAGTGCACGGGTACTCCGGCTGTCAGGCAGGCGGTAAACCAGAACACCGCCAAGCCACGTGGTCAGCACAGTTGACAGCCATGTCCAAGGCCAATGGAACCATCCAAGGGGTCATTAAGGCTCAAGCAGCGCCCCTAGGGAGGCCAACAGCTATGGGCCAGCTTCCACTTGCCCTGCGAAGTGGGGCACCCCTCCGTGACACCTGGGGCTGGGCAGACTGGGATGGCAGGCACGGTGTGGGATGTGCAGTCAGCTTCCGGGACGGGGCCCTTGGGGCACTGCCTGTTCCTCAGCCCCACGAACCAGGGATGCTGGTTGGCAGCTTTGTGTTGACAGGCAGGGTTCTCCTGGGTTAACGATGCAGGTGAGCCTCCCAGACCTGCCGCCCTAGCTCTCGGGGCAGGGAAAACCAGCCTCATGGCAGCCCCAGTCCTCAGCCACGTGGGAATCACAGGATTCACCCGCTAACGGCCGCCAAACTTACCAGAGGCGTCCGAGGAGGATCCGTTTAATCGTCCTTCTTAAACTTGCCGTTGATGTAGGGCACCCAGTCCAGAATCAGCCGCCAGTCCGTGGCCCACACCAGCCCCACAGCGCCCACGGCACCCCACATGCCTGCTGTGGGGATCCTGCCAGAGGACAGCAGGGGTCAGGTCCTGCTCGGGAATCACCCTTCCAGCTGCATCTCTGGGTCTCTCCCCCTCCCGCTTATCCAGCGCCCACCACAGACACCCTCTCCTGCCCAGCGTATGAACACAACCCTCAGACAGCTCCGTGGGGTGGCCGCAAAGCCAAAGACCCCGAGGCGACTTCACTCCCGCCTGCTTTCACACTGGCAGGTTTTTTTGTGGAATCTGCTCAAAAGAAAATTTCAACAAGGCGAGCTCATAACCACCCTTACAGAGCCCAGGTGTGCGTGCCGGTGTCCGCTCTGCAGCTCACAGTTGATCCGTGACAGCTGTGGGACTGAGAGAGGGATCAGGAGCGCACAGAAGGGCAGGACACCTGCCCAAGGACACCCAGGTGCTGGGTGCAGGCACAGGCTAGTGCAGCTCTCGCCCAGGGGCCGCCCCTCACTCGTGTGCGGTGACTGGCTGGAGTCCTCAGTGGCTCCACCGGCCTCCTGCGGGTCAGACCCCATGCACCTGCTCCCCACCAGCAGGAGCGGGACCCAGTCTCTAGCGCAGCGAGCGAGGCTCGCGGAGGTGACCTTGTGAACCCAGGTGCTCTGGCTCGTCCGTCCTCTGCAGGAAGCAGGGCCACCGGAGCTGCCCCGCAGGGCTCCGCGACACTGAGGCCTGCGCGGGGAACGACCGCAGGCAGAGCCCCTGGAGGACGCCGCAGCCTCCCGGCGTGGCGGGCTCGGCTCAGGGGCGCCGCAATCCTCACCCACGCGGGAGGGGTACTTGCTCGCGCTCGGGGCTGTGCGGGCCCACGTGCCCCGCGGCCGGGGAACCCGCTGCAGCTCCCGTGGCCGGCCACGAGCCTCACGGCGGGCGGGGGGCTGCAGGCGCTACTTCCACCACCCCCACCACGGCTCCGGGGGTCCGTAAGGCCCCAGGAACCCTGCCCGGCGTCCGGTGGGAGCCCGGGAGCCCGGGGCCCGGACAGACGGCGGGCGGCCGTGTCGGTCCGCCCAGGCAGGGGTGAGGAGCCCGCCCCGGACGCGCGCGCCGGACCCCTCTGGGGCCTGCAGCAACACAGGAGCCGACCGGGGACGCGGGGTCGGGGGCACACGCTCACCAGTTTCTGGCCAGTTCCCGGTAGCGCGGGCCCAGCAACCTGCTCAGCATCGCGACGCGCTCCGCAGCTCAGGGTGACCCCGGCTGCCGCCGGCCGCACCGCGCAAGCGCGGCGGTCGCAGCGCGCAGGCGCACGCGGAGGCCCCGCCCCGGGCAGGCCGCCCAGGGGGCAACCGGCGTCGGCGGTTGCTGCGCGCGCAGACCCGGAAAACCTAGTGGTCACTTCCGGGGAGGGTCGGAAGTCGTTCCCGCGAGGCCGCGGGTGGGCGGGTCCTGCCGAGCGCTGGCCCGGGAGTCGCGGGGGTGTCCCCTCGCCGGCGGCCAGGGCGGCTCCCCGCGGCCGCAGCTGCACCCGAGACGCCTGGCTGCTGCGTGTGTCCTGCCGCCAGCGGGGGCTTCATCTGCCGACAGGGGAGCAGGCCCGGAGGGCAGGGCCTGGCCGGGGCCGCCGGAGGAGCGGCGCGGTCGGTCGGACGCCGCTTGTGGGGCCGTCGCCCCTGGGGTCCCGGTGCGGCCCGCGGGCGGACCTCCGGGGGCGGCCCGGGGCTCTCCTGCCCCCTCGCTCGCCTCCTGCAGGGCGGCAGCTCCGGGGCCGCGGGTCCTGGGCGGGTCCTGGCCCCTCCGCGGGGGGGGGGGAGGGGCACTCCCGGGTCCTGGCCCCTCCGCGGGGGGGGAGGGGCACTCCGGGGTCCTGGGCGGGTCCTGGGCGGGTCCTGGCCCCTCCGCGGGGGGGGGGGGTGGCAGCTCCCGGGTCCTGGGCGGGTCCTGGCCCCTCCGCGGGGGGGAGCCCCCCCCCCGCTATGATACCCCGAGACTCGGGGAGAGGGGGCTTGTTGCTACCGGTGTAGACACTGAGTCTCTGCAGGTGCCCTGGGGCCTCCGCTTGCATCCGAGCGGCCTGCAGGGAAGGACGGTGGCTCCGCGTCCCGGGTTTCAGGCTCTTGGTCTCAGCTCCGGTGCGATCTCGATCTCGGGGTCCTGAGATCCGGCCCCACATTGGGCTCCGCGCTCCCTGCAGAGTCGACCTGGGCTCCTCTCCTGTGTCTTCCTCTCTCGTCCTGCCAGGCTCACGCTCTCACTCTTTTTCTTTCTCTGAAACAGGTAAATAAAACCTTAAAAAAAAAAAAAAAAAAAGTGGAGCTGGGCATGGGGCCTGAGGGCTGCAGGTCTGGACCCAGCAGGTCCGGGAGCCCTGGCTCACTGCCCCTCTGCCTAACGCACCTCATAAGGCAGAAGGTTTTCCTTTCCAGTGATAACAAAAACCAGTTTAAGTTAAGAGGTTTTACGGCATGTTGGATGGCTTCAGGCACCGCGGGATCCAGGAGTCTGGCCATCCCTCTGCATCTCTCCCAATAAGTGCAGAAAATGCCCCGGGGCTGCTTCTCCTGGGTCTGCTGTGGAAATGGGGCAGGTCAGCCTCTGCCCCTGGGAGGACATGGGCTGGAACTGGAGGGGAGGATCCCCAGAAGGGAGTCGCCAGGATCCTGATACTGGATAAGTAAGAACTGTCAGGGGTTCCCACATCCCACTGGCCCTCTGCCCGGGGCGCCAGGATTCCCTGTGATACTCCCATCTGGCCTTTGGGGGAAATGGAACTGCTTTTCTTGTTTTTACTGCTGTGAAGTCCCTATAACCAACAATTAGCCATTTAGAAGTGAGTATTTCAGGGGTTGAGCATCTGCTTTCAGCTCAGGGCGTGACCCCGGGGTCCTGGGATCGAGTCCCGCACGGGGCTCCCCCGCAGGGAGCCTGCTTCTCCCTCTGCCTGTCTCTCTCTGCGTCTCTCATGAATGAATGAATAAAATCTTTAGGGATCCCTGGGGTGGGGGGCTCAGCAGTGTAGCGCCTGCCTTTGGTCCAGGGCACAATCCTGGGGTCCCGGGATCGAGTCCCATGTCGGGCTCCCTGCATGGAGCCCGTTTCTCCCTCTGCCTGTGTCTCTGCCCCCGCCTCCATATATATATATCATAAATAAATAAAATCTTAAAAATAAATAAAATCTTAAATATTTCAGCGACGTTCAGTGTATTCACTTGTTGGAACCACCACTCCTACTTGCATCACTTCGGAAAGGTTCGTTCCATCCTCATCAGCCGTCACCCCCCGGGCCCCTGGGCCCCCTCCCTGTCCGTGGATGAGCCCATCCTGCACATGTCACACGCGTGGACTCCCACCCCATGGGCCCATGGGGCCTCCTGTGTCTGCCCTCCCTGAGCATCGTGGGCTCGGGTCCATCCTAGTGCGGCACCTGAGGGCCTTGCTCCTGCCAGCGGCCCGGGGACGTGGCCATGTGCAGGGGACACGCTGTGTGTACCGCTCACCCGCAGATGGATTCCTGTAACCTCTTGACAACGTACTGAGGTGTGTTTGAAGTGTACAAACGCACATGGTGATCACGTGCAGGTTGCACGTGGACGTGCGTGCCCGTCGGCGCAGCGCCGGGGCAGCCGGGGCCTCGGGCTTCCTCCAGCTACTGGGCCAACTCGTCGTCCCTTCAGCCCCCTCAACCGCTCAGCTGGTGTCTTCTGTGAGTTAATCCAAATTTTCTAGGCCTTTCTACCCAGGGAGGCGCCCGGGGTGTTAAGCTTGCGTCCGGCCTGCCGGGTGGGGACAGGTGATCCCGAGCTGCCGCCTCCTGCCGAGTGGCGCTGCGGGCAGGGCAGCCGGGTGCGCCGAGTCGTTCCCCCGCGGGGCCCGTGTCCACCCCTGCACGAAGCCGCCAAGCTTAGCTTTCGCAAGCCAAGGTGTCCGTGACCTGCGCCGCTCGGCCGGGTCGGGCTCGGCGTCCGCCGCCAGGCTGTCCGGGCTCCTCGCACCTGCGGCCGCGGGGGGCGACTCCTGCCCAGGCTTCTGCCTGGTTAGAAAGGATGCGGGCCCCGTGTCCCACGGTCACACCTGGTGACAAATAAGGGCCCCAGGGGTGTCACAGGGTGCACCCCCCCCCGCCCCCTCGCTCCTCGTCACCGTCCGGAGGCTTCTCTCCCCGAGCGGCCACCGAGGCGGCGCCCAGCCGGCGCCCAGGGCCCCACGTCGGCCCCTGCCCAGAGGGGCGTCTGCTTCTGGCCCCCTCGCTCCTGCGCTGTCCCCCGCTCTCTCAAATAAATAAAACCTTAAAAGAAAAAGAAAGAAACGTCCACGGAGCTGGTGTCCCGGGCGCGGGCCTCCCTCCTGCTGCTACCGTTGGACGCCCCTCCCGAGGGCGCGCGCGTGCGACCCTGGACGTCGGGGTCATGAGCTCGAGCCCCGTGTCGGGTGTGATTGCTTAAAAATAAACAAACAAAGATTTTATTTACGTGTGTGGGGAGGGAACGCACGGGGGTGGGCGGAGGCAGGGGGAGCGGCCGACGCAGGCTCCATCCCAGGACCCCTACTGCAGGGGCAGGTTCCCCCCGACCTGAGGAGCTTCGGCTCTGGGATGTGGAATCGCTGTGGGCCTTGTCATCGCAGTCAAACTGCTGTGTGTCCCCCAAAGAGCCATGTTGAAGCCCTGCCCCCCACCCCTTGGGACCTTATTTGGAGCCAGGATCTTTGCAGATCCTGGGCTAAGACAGTCGCACGGGAGGAGGGTGGCCTTGATGCAGTGACAGGTGTCCCCATAACGGGAATCTGGACACGGACGCACGGGGAGGCAGCCACGTGCCACGGAGGCCATGTGGCCACCGGCTGCGCGACACCCGGCACCCCCGGGAGTGGGAGAGGCAGGAAGAGGCCTCCGGAGGGACCCGGCCCCCTTGGGGGGACTCCTGACCCCAGAATGAGGGAGCGTAGATCCCCGTGGATGTTTACAGCCGCCCCAGGCCCAGGGCCCTGTCCCTGCCTGTGCCCCGCGCCCCGCGCTACCTGCTACCCGACGGGGCACCGCCTCCCCGCCTCCCCCGCCGAAGCACAGGGGACAGCAGAGTGTGGTCATCAAATGTCACCTTTATTGCTACAGGGCTGTTCTACACAGGACAGGGCTCCAGATCCACTTCAGAGAGGACCGTTTAGAACATCCCAGAATCCAGCCAGCTGTGTCGACACTTGTATAAAACCATTTTTCTTAAAAAAGTTTTGTTTGGAAACCAGTTATCTTGAGGCACTCAGCACAATTCTCCCGTAATCGTGGCTCTTCCTTCCCTCAGGGCCACTTACATGTAATAGCCCGGCGGTAGTCCGGGGGTGGCGGTGGGGGGGCGCAGAGGCCCCTCGTAAGGCCAGAAGCAGAGAGGGAAACTGAGGCAGGTTCCCCAAAAGACACACAAGACCCGCACAAACCAGGAGTCACTGGGGACGGTCCCTCACGAGCCCATGGCTCCTAGCTGCTCCCGACCAGTCTTGGGGGGGTGGAGCAGACCCAACGGGAGGACCCCAGTGACCTCAGGGCTTGGTTGAGGCCTGGAGCTTCCCTCGGGGCACCCAGCTCCCTGGCCCGGGGAGTTCCAGGCGGGGCTCGGGGGCACAGGCAGCCCCACTGCTCCGGAGCGAGTGGGAGGGGCCGGGGAGACGCTGGAGGGACTGGTGTGCTGGGGCGAAGGCGGCCACCCCGGGGTCCCTAAGGCCTGGGTGTTGGGGGTACGGGGAAAAGGAGCCCCGGAGCCCAGCAGGCCTGACCTGGGGCTGGGAGACCCACGGGGGGGCCACTGTCCTGGTTTCCCAGGAACAGCAGGAGCTCCAGGATCAAGGACTTTCAGTTTAGGCCTGGTGACACAGGGAGACCCCCTCCTGGTCTTGCGGGTGATCGGGTGCAAAGCCTGTGGGCTCTTTGGGTTTGGGGGCAGTCAGTCGGGGTGGGGGCTTGTGCTGGCCCTCTGCCAAAGGTGGGGACGGGGTGCCAGGGAGGCCCCCAACACCATGCTCCCGTGCCCAGGAACACACGTTGGTCCCAAGGAAATCCAATGTGGGGAGGTCTGTAGACCCTGGGAGAGCAGCTCGTGGGGAGGTGCCCAGGAACCAGAGCTGCTTGTGGGGGGAGGGGGGTGTCCTCGACAGCTCCACGCTGACACACTCCACCCCTGAGGAAAATGGGGCGATGCTTCCCCCGAGGACGCCCCCCACCAGGGAAAGGCCTGCCCACCACTCACACCTGAGCGAACCCAGGACACCTCCCGACCTCTGGATAAGCAGCTAGGAGACATCATCCTCCTTCGCGTCCAGGGGCTCCCAGGGCGGGGAGACCTCAGGGTCCAGTGGGCCTTTTTAATACAACTTTTAATAATCTGGTTGATCATGAAATGCAACGCTCAAGTCTAGAAACAGCAGCAGAAATAGCAAGAGACACAAGACTTTTATACAAAAAATTTGTTGCTTACAAAACATATGCAAAAAAGCTTAAAAAAAAAAAAGAGACCAAAGGCATCCTCCTTGCTAATTTTCTAATACGTTAAAAAAAAAAAAAATCTTGTAACTAACGTTCTTTATTTTCCTTAAGACAAATGTCAGGCGTAGGCACGATTCACGGCGGCTCCTCAGGAACGAGCCAGTCTTGCGCAGCTTCTCCCTCCAGCGAGTGGTAGGTTTGGACTCTCCTGCGTTTTATACTTAAGGCATTTTTAAATCTTTTCTGACAAAGTGTATATCTTGCTTGCGTTCTGGTTTTGTTTAGAAACAAAACGAAACAAAACAAAACACTGCCCCTTGGGGTCTGGGCCGGGGCCGCGGTCTCAGGATCCATCAGCAAAGTCCCCAGGCGTCAAGGCGGTGAGGCCCAGGGCCGGACAGCCCCGCCCTCGGAGGCCCTGGGGTGGCGCGGGTCCGTGCTGACCGAGGACGTGCCGGCGGGGACCGGCTGGGGTCCCGGGTCCCGCACGGCGCCCCTCACATGCGCCCCTCACATGTGCCCCGCGGGGTTGTGGGCCTCGCTCAGGCCCGGGTGGGCGGCCGAAAGCACCATCTGGGGGTCTCCGACCACGCCTGACACCTTCTCCTCTTCTCGCCGCTTCAAGCAAGCCGCTTTGGGGTTCAGGTTACGCTCTGGGGGGAGGGGGAGAGCAATGTGGGAGAGGGTCCCCGCGGGGGCGGCGGGCGTGGGGGCCGTGAGCAGCACGTGGAGCCGGCGCGGAGTCCCCCGCTGTCTGCGCACGGGGAGGGGCGGGGGCGCGGCACGGGGGCACCTGGCCTGGGAGCCTACCTCGCACCTGCTGCTCCAGGCCCAGGATGACCTGCACGGCCTGCTGCAGGATGAGCAGTTTGGTCTGTGCCTTGTCCGACTTGAGGTGCATCTGGCACATGCGCCCCAGCTCCCGGAAGGCCTCGTTAATGTCCCGCACACGCACCCGCTCCCGTGCGTTATTGGCCATGCGCCTCTCCCGGTCCCTCAGGTCTTTCTCCTCCAGGGACAGCACCTCCTCCGTACTGCTGGGTCACAGCACCGGGGCCTCTGTTAGTCATGGGCCGGGGCTCCCGCTGTGTGTGCGTGCGGGCGCATGTGTGTGTGTGTGTGCGTGTCTGTGACAACGTGCTCACCTGTGCTCCCAGGGCTCGGTCCTGGAGCCCGGCCCCTGGGCACTGTGCCTGCCCCTGTGCACCCCTGGGAGCCAGCTGTAGGCTACAAGGTTACGCCCAAAGGAGGCCGACGTGGGAGGGCTCCCGGGGGGCGGAGGAGGGACCGAGGTCCCCGTGTGCGTATCTGTGCGGAGCTGCAGGGCATCCCTCGCCCCCTGCCCACTCCACACGCCCCAGGACTGGCCAGGAGGGCAGGGGAGGCCCAGCGCCCCTCCTGGGATGGTGTCCCCCCGGCAGAGCCGTCGCTGGCTGGGCTAAGGGAGTGCTAGGCCTGACCTGACAGTGTGGGGGAAGACGCAGAGACGACTTCGGCTCAGGGGGCCAAGGCCTGGCCCCCACCCCCAACCCCCGCGCCGGCTCTGGGTGGTTCTGGGCTGGGAGCATTGGCTCCGCAGGCCCCTCCTCACTGCCGCCAACAACCCCATTTGGCCCTGGGTGGGGGAGGCTACCAGGCCGTGGTCACAGAGACTCTGGGACAGCTCAGGCACCTGCCACGAGGTCCAGACCCTGGCTAGAGCCCTATGGACTGTGTAGCCACACGGCTTGGCGCAGGGGACTGCTCTGTGTCCGATCCTCGGTGGGATGGGGGCAAACTACCATCAGGACACCTGCACATCTGGTCTCGGGGACCGTGGAACAGTGCGGGGAAGGCCCGGCTCCGGTGTGCGCCCCGGAGGCTGAGGAGGGGCCGAGGCACTTGCATGTGAGCAGCTTCGGGGTGCCCTGTCCTGCTCTCGCAGCGGGGGGGCTGCTGCTGCCCCTGCCCGCCCACCCGCCCCTGGGCCTGAGTGGATCCCGCCAGGTGGCGGCGGCGGCCCCCGGAGCCCAGGACAAGCGCGCAGACCAAACTGACAGGCCTGAGGCTGGTGCACCCCTTGGTCCCTTTTCATCCCTCAAGTCCCAACTGGGGGGCTTTGGGGGAGGAAAGACCCCAAGGTCGCAGCCCTGCCATCCGGGGCTTGGGCAGCAAGTGCGAGGTAGGGAGGGGCTGCCGTGGAAGCAGAGAGATGGATGGGCTGGGATGGGGGGAGCGCGAGAGGCAGAGAGCAGAGAGGCGGGCGCGGGGAACACGGCGGGGTGCCCACACCACCACGGAAACACGGAACCCTCAGAGCTGAGGGGACAGCAGGCCGGGTGGGCTAGGGCCCCAGCTCCGGTCCAAGCGACAGCGCTGCAGGAGAGAAAGGGTTAACGGGCGCGCAGGCAGGGGAGGCGTTAAGGAGCTGAGCTGGGGAGCCAAGTCACAGGGGGGACTTTCTGGATCCTCACCCAGCCCTGGGAAACGGGGGCGGGGGGACGAACCCCACCTGTAGATGGGGGCTGACGGGCTCAAGTGGCCCCACAAGGATGTGTCTGCTCAGAGCGACAGTGACCTTTGGCTCCGGGGCACATGGGCTTCAGGCAAGGGACTACAGCCTTTCCCAGAAAGGAGGGCTGGGGTGGGTGGGAGTCCCTGGGGTCCAGGGATGGCGTTCAGAGCCAAGGGCCCACGTCTGCAGAGCTAGGGGGCCAAAGAGTGTCATCTTCCCATCTGCAGAGGGGACACTGGGGCCAGGCTAGGCGGCCCAGTGGTCAGAGAGGGAACAGGGACTGTGGTGGGGGAGGTCACAGCGGGCAGGGTGGTCACTGCAGGGAGAGGCCACAGCAAGGAGGACGGTCATGGCAGGAGGGGGATAGTCACAGCAGGGGAGGCTGGCTCCAGGAAGGGGGGTGAGAGCGAGGGCGGCAGTGGCGGGGGAGGGGAGCGGCGCCCCCACTGACCTCGCACCTGCTGCTCCAGATTCAGGATGACCGACACGGCCTGGTGCAGGATGAGCAGTTTGGTCTGGGGCTTCTCACTGTTGAGGTGCAGCTGGCACATGCGCCCCAGCTCCTTAAAAGCCTCATTGATGTCTCGGACCCGCAGCCGCTCCCGCGCGTTATTGGCCACCCGGCGCTCCTTCTCCCGCTCAGCCTTCTGCTCTGGGGGGAGAAGGTCGTCCTCGTCCTCGTCCGGGCTATGGGGGGGGGGGCCCGGGGGGCCAGAGGGAGACAGTGAGGCAGGGGGGCAGGCGGGGGGCCCGCCGACAGCCTCGCGGTGTGGGCGCCATGTGTGTGCTGTGTGTGTGTGTGCGTGTGTGTGCGTCCTGACGGGTGGGGCGGGGCGGGGGCTGAGGAGGGCTGGCACCTGGTCCGGGTCCGGGGGGGCTTCAACTCCTTCTTCTCCTCCTCTGAGTTGTCGGCCACTGATGCATTCTCCTCGTCCTCCTTCTCCTCCCGTTTGATCTCACTGGCACCTGAGACGGCCCCAGCACGCCCAAGTCCTGCAACAGGCCTGGGGTCAGGGTCTAGGGCACCTCCAGGACCACTCAACAAATCTCACTTGTCCCTTAAATGAGGTACAGTGACCTCTCTTGAGAAATCCAGGCCTTCACTTGCAAAAAAAACAAAAAAAAAACAAAACAAAGAAACACCCATAAAACAGTAGTAAAACAGAAAACACTCCTGGAATCAAGTCCCTACCTCACGCTACACAGTCAAGAATTCCAGATAAAGATCTGACAACCTGGGACCCCTGGGTGGCGCAGCGGTTTGGCACCTGCCTTTGGCCCAGGGCGCGATCCTGGAGACCCGGGATCGAATCCCACGTCGGGCTCCCGGTGCATGGAGCCTGCTTATCCCTCTGCCTATGTCTCTGCCTCTCTCTGTGTGTGTGACTATCATAAATAAATAAAAAAAAAAAAAAAAAAAAAAAAAAGATCTGACAACCTTTAGAAGCAAAGTAGAAATCTTGCTGTGACTCAGAAGTCTGGACTATTTTCTAAAACACTAAACGGGCTGTTTTCAGAAGAAACAAACTGATTAAGAATTTTTGATCACAAAAAAAATTTTTTTTTTTACCAGGATACCACCAAGAAAATAAGAAAATACACCACAAGAAAGAAAACACTGGTCTTGTATAAACAAGTGAAGGCCTGATCTTCACAATACGTAAAAAGCTCCTACAAATAAATAAGAAAAACAGGAAAATAGGGAAAGTTCCCAAACAGCTGATTCATAGAAAAGGAGGCAGATATGACCCTGTGGAAATCTGCTTACACCCAGAAACTAGGAAATGCAAATTGGGATCCAATAAGTCAGTGAGTTGGTGAAACAGCAGAGCCCAACAACCTGAAGTCCTGCCCGTGGAAGGGAAGTTGGCACAGCAAGTTTGGGAATGCCTGGCATCATCTGGAGAAGGTGGATACACATGTACCCCCAAATCCCACAACCTGGAATCGCACCGGAGAAGCTCAAGCACACGCACCAGGAGACACATTCCAGAAAGCACCCGGCACAAACGCAGAGTTGGAAACAACCTAAGGCTCCACATCAGGGCCTGGGCCCACCCCCTCAGCCACTAGCAGCAAGAGGGTCCTCACCCCGAGGTGAAACACACCAGCCGACGCCACTTCTACAGAAGCCCTTTGTTTTTGTTTTGTTTTTTTAAGATTTTTATTTATCTATTCATTAGAAACAGAGAGAGAGGCAGAGACCCAGGCAGAGGGAGAAGCAGGCTCCACGCAGGGAGCCCGACGTGGGACTCGGTCCCGGGTCTCCAGGATCACACCCCGGGCCGAAAGCGGCGCTAAACTGCTAAACCGCTGAGCTGCCCGGGCCGCCCTACAGAAGCCCTTTGAAAGTGATGCTGAACTCTACACTCTGTGATAATAATGTCGGACCAGGAATGGGGCCTGGGCTTGGCAACAGATGACCAGGAAGGACAGGGGAGGACAGAGGGGAGGGGAGGACAGGGGAGGGAAGGGGAGGGGAAAGGATAGGAGTGAAGTGGAAGGGAGAGGAGGGGAGTGGAAGGGAGGGGAAGGGAAGGGAATGGAGAGGAGGGGAGGGGAGAGGAGTGGAAGGAAGGAAAGGGGAGGGGGCAGCCCGGGTGGCGCAGCGGTTTAGTGCCGCCTTCAGCCCAGGGCCTGATCCTGGAGACCTGGGATTGAGTCCTACATCCGGCCCTGCAAGGAGCCTGCTTCTCCCTCCGCCTGTGTCTCTGCCTCTGTGTGTGTGTGTGTGTGTCTGTGTGTGTGTGTCATAAATAAATAAAATCTTAAAAAAAAAAAAGGAGCAGATGGGAGGGAAGTGGAGAGACAGGGAAGGAAGTAGAAAGGAGGGGAGAGGGGAAGAGGACGGGAGGAAAAGGGAGGAGAGGAGACAGGAGAGGAGGAAAGAGGGCAGGGGAGAGGAGGTGAGGGCAAGGGAGGAGGAGAACCTGGGGTAAGAGGTTCAGGTCAGGGAACCCTGGTCCCACACAGGGACACAGGGCATCCCGGGCAGCGTGAGGGGTCAAGGAGCAGGCCTGCTCCCACCCCAAGCTCCCCAGGGGTGACGCCTGTGGTGGCTGGAGGTGCCCCAGAAGAGACCCTGGGTGCAGACCAATGCTGGTGTCAAACTCAGGCTGGTGCTGAGTGGGTGGGGGGTCCTGAGCAGGACGGAGAACCCGCGGGGGCATCTGGGGGCTCCAGACACTGGGTGGCATACACGTGCCTGCAGGGAGGCCCCGAGCCGTCCCCCGCCGCGGCCGTCAGCGTCTGCACCCCGCGGCCCCGCTGCCACGAGCGCAGCCCCAGCCCCAACCGAGGCCCCCGCGGGCCCGTCTCCACCTCATCCCTCCAGCCCTGTGCAAAGTGCCATCACCCGCTTGGGTCTTTTCCCCGTAAAATTTGTGCCCACAGCAACCGGCCCCCACCTCAGGAGCCTGGCGAGCCTGCCCGGGGTCCCAGCTCTGAGCCCTGCCGCGTGCCCTGGACACCCGGGGCCTCGCCCTGAACCCCAGACCCGAATCCACCTGCATGGGCTCTGTGCCTGCAGAACAGGACTCAACCCGCCACTTCCGGTGCCCACGTCACCCGGCTCCCCGGTCTCCCCGTGGCTCCCAGAGGGCGCCTGTGGGCGTGGCAGGTCCCTGTTCTGCCTGCGGCCCTCCAAGGCACCCAGGTCCTCCCCTGTCCCCAGGACCCCATGTGACCTGCCCTGTCACCTCCCTGACCTCGCCATCTCTTCCTATTTCCCTCACCCAACGCAGAGCCCTCACTCCTCCTCCAGCACCCAGGACGTGGTCCTGTCCCAGGGCCTTTGCACATGCTTCACTCAAGAGCCTGTCCGCTCCTCCCCAGCCCTGCCCAAATATCACGATCTTGCCCCACCACCATCTTTACACCTACGAGCACCCCCGCAGCCCTCCCCATTCCCCCCAGCACCCCTCCTTACGCAGTCTACTGCTGGCCACCCCTAGGGGCAAGCTTTTTCCTTCCCCGTTTCCCGCCCACTGCCTATAGAAGCACCAAGCGTGCAGTGGATGCTGAGTGGAGAACACTTCAGTGGTGAGGCCGGGCTCCGGCTCCTTCAGGAAAGAACCAACGGGCTGAGCTGACCCCTCAAGGGCCCCCACCCAGCACCTAACACAGGGCAGCCCTGGCCGGGCCTGCACGGGGCCAGGGCGCAGGTGACCCCCGGGCCAGCTGCCCCCCGGCCTCGCGCCGAGGCTTACCGCTGTAGGAGTCCGGCGGCCGGGTGAGGTCAGGCAGGGCGCCGGGCTGGCTGGGGAGGCCGACGTGGTTGTGCAAGAGGCCGCTGGCCGAGAGGGCATCATCCGAGTGGGCGCCTCCCACCTGTGGACAGGCGAGCAGGTGCATGGTCACGGCTGGCCGGCCGTCACCCCCGCCCAGCCCGGCCGCAGGCGGCACTCACCAGGCCGGTGTGTCGCCCGGCCAGCGGCATGACAGGGCCGGCGAAGCTGGGGGGCAGCGCTCCGTGGCCAGGCAGCAGCCCGTGCACGTCCGCTGCGGCGCCCACCGCGTGGCTGCGCAGCACGTGGATGGCCTCATCCAGGTGGTCTTCCATCTTGTTCTGCTGCGGGCCAGGGGGGCGGGAGGCGGTCAGGGTGTGGACCGCGGGTCCCCGAGGCCACAGTCACGGCTTCAACCTCACACCCGACAAGTACCCATCAAGGGGGCAACTGCCTGTGAGCTCTGCCCGCCCCCTCCCCAGGAATGCTGTCCCTGGGCCCACATGTACCCCATACCTCGTGGCCCAGACTGCACCCTGGGCGCAGGCCCCCACCAGGGACCGCCCCCACCCAGCCCTGGAGCCGGGGCAGGAAGCTCACCAGGCTGTGGAGACCCCCGTCATAGCTGGGCGATAAGGCACCGGGGGCTCCTGGTCGGGGCCACTGCGACGTCCCTGCAGGAGAGGGGGCGAGTCAACAGGGCCTCTGAGGCTGGCAGGGGGCGCGCGGGGGGCCGTGATGCCTAGGCCCGCCACACGGGGGCGCCCCTGCCCGCAGGGCCCCTGGGCTCAGCCCTGCCCAGGCCAGCCAGTTAGGGGAGCCCCAGGGAATCCGGCTCCCACCGCCACGACCCACACCCACCTCCCGGGGGAGGCAGCCCAGCGGCACAGAGGTAGGTGTCCCAGAGGCCCGCCTGCCCGCCCTACCAGCGGTGCGGCCAGCGCAGGGCACAGGTTCACCCCAGGGGCCCCGCATGGCTCAGGGAGGAGCCAGGATTCCTGCCGCAGAGGTGAGAGCCCGCGGAGTTTCTAGTAAAACCACCTGGCCTTCCAGAAACTTCCCCAGGAGCTGATCCCCAGGTAGATGGTGGTCTCGGGGATAGGAGAACCTTGGCCCCTTTGGCAGAACTAAAGGCAGGGCACGCCGCTGGTGCCGACTATACACGGGCTGGACAGACGCCAACGTGTCGGTGCTCCGGAGTCCTGTTAGGCTGGCTCCTGGCCCCTATGCCCTGCCCCTGCTGGATCCCACAAGCCCGGGGACGGCTGGTCCACCCAGCTCTCCACCCACCCAGGGCCGCAGGCACCAGATGCAGACCCCGCCCCTCCCCAGCACCCCACACACACCTGCTAGGCCCTGGGGGGAGCCCACAGGGGTCGAGGGGCTGGAGGAGAAGTTATTGCTTGAGTGATCCGGGGAGTAGATCTGCAACAGGGAGGAAGCAGGGCCACCAGACAGGCGGTCAGGGGCCAGCCTCCTGGGCTCACCAGCCTAGCCACCCTGCCACCCCCAGTCCCACGCCTCACCGAGGCCAACGCCTTCCCGAGGGCATCCCCAGAGCTGCCGGCAGTTGTCCCGCGGGACCCTGGGAGGTAGAGAGAGGTGGAGCCCAACCTCAGGGACGTGGCGTCCCAGCACCCTGGCCCAGCTGGCGGGCAGCTCCTGAGCTCAGCTGGGTAACGGCCTGGGGTCCTGCCTCCTGCCTCCACGGAGGCTCCAGGGACAGGCAGGCAGCAGGACCCGAGAACGACTTCCCTTGGAGCCCCCAAGCCAGGAACCCCAGCAAATCGCCTTCTGTCCCTCTGACTCAACGGTGGGAGCATGGCTCTGGGAGCTCCTCCCTGCCCAGATGCGAAGTGGGGACCCAATGAAGAGGGCCATTTGCAAACATCACAGGTACGGCCTGAGGAAGCCGGGATGGTGTGTAGGGCAGGCCCAGGGGAGGAAGGGCACACGTGACAAGGCCCGACGCCTGCACCCTGCCAGGGGTCCAGCCCGGGGGCTGCATCTGGAAGTGGGGTGAAGGGGGCCAGTACCCATGAGGCCGTCGGCCCCGCTGACGGGGGGCGTGTGGCTGGAGACGCTGGCATAGGCGGCTGCGGGGCCCGAGGAGAAGGTGGACACTGCCGGGAGCCCGCCGTTCACCTCTGCTCCGTGTAGCTGGTAGCCCTGCGGGTGGGGACGCGGTCACAGGGGCCCGACGGGGCGCTGCCCACACGCCCGCCCCCGCCCCCTCATGCGGGCCTACCATGCGCTCGTGCTGGTGCAGGCTGCCGAACCCTCCGCTGCTGCCACTACCCACGGAGCTGCCACCAGCTGGCGGGAGGGGCAGGGGCGACGAGCCCCCACCCAGCATGGGGCCAAAGCCCGCCTGGCCCGAGGGACTCCAGAGCTCGGCCGAAGGGTGTAGGCTGCCATCTGTGGGGGCAGACGGTGAGGTGGGCAGGGGGCAGGGGGACCCGGAGCCCTGCCCCAACCATCTCCGGGGACCCCCACGAACCTGCCATGTAGAAGGGGGTGGGATAGGCGCTGCTGGGGGTCTTGGCGGACGGGTAGGCAGCTGTGTCCCTGCTGTAGTCATCACCTGAGCTGGAGGGGTACACCTGCCGGCGGGCCCATGAGGTCAGGAGGGGGCTGGGAGGGACCGGCCCCCACCCCCAGGCCTGCCCTCCACCCGCCACGCGGTCCTCTGCTGCTCTAACACGTCCCCTGGGCCAGCACGGGAGGCTCTGGTGGCAGCGGCTCTCCCGCCCGCGCTCCAGCCCTGGGCCTCCTCGATCCATCAGAGCCGCGCTGTGACGCTGCAGCCCTTCCCTCTGCCCTGTGTCCTGGGACCCCCAGCAGCCTGGACGCAGGGCCCCACGTTCACACTGTGCCCTGGCTGCTCCAGACCAGCAGGGAGGTTCCAGGATCCCGCCAACCAGGGCTGGCACGGCCTGGAGCTGAGGCCAGCGGGGAGCGCCTGGCCTGGTGCTAGAGCAGGCCGGGGTGGGTGCGGGGGGTCCGGTCAGGCTCAGACAGGGAGAGCAGGGGGTCAACGGGATCCCGAACCAGATCTTCAGAGCCTGACCGGCACCACCAGCTGCAGAGCAGAGCGCCCACCTGACTGACCCTGGGCCGAATGCAATCCGGGTCACGCACGGAGCCGTGCCCGGCGTGGGGGCTCGGGGTCCTGGAGGCCAGCGGAGCCAGGCGGAGCGGTGGCCGAGCCGGGGACCCTAGCAGACCGCCTTCTCTCCCCATGACCCAATCTTGGGACCCAATGCCATGCGCTGGGCTGACACCCTGCCAGGGGCCAGGCAGCGGGGCAGGGATGCGGGGAGGGGTGGGGACCCCGTTCCCGAGGTGCTTGGCCACCAGTAACATCCCGCTCTCCTACAGCAGGACTGTGAGCTGGACCGAGGAGGAACTTCCCAGGGGCCCTTGGAGCCGCAGCCCCGGGGCAGAAGTCACCCCCAGCGGAGAGGCCACCAAGCCTACGCCCCTGACCTGCGGGACCCCACTGCGGCCCACCACTCACCGAGGACGGGAGACCGGGCGGCACCTTCCGGACCTTCTTGGGCTGTGTGTCTGTCGGGGCCAGAGGAGCAGTGAGGCGGGCGAGGCTGGCTCCTGCCCCCCAGGTGGGACGCGGGGTCGGGGGCCTACCCTGTGCCTCAGACAAGAGACCCTGAGCTTCCCGGGAGTGAAACAACCAGAGTGAGGTCTCAGGGGCGTCCATACGGTCTGCAGGGTGGAGTGGGGTGGGGTCCGCGGCCCAAGAGCCAGGCCTCCGTGCGGCCCTCCCTGTGCTCCCACGGCCATGCCTCACACCTGCCTGTGGGGCGTGGGTCCCGTGCTCGGCAGGACCCCTCCACTCGGCCCTCCCCAAGGCTACTGGCCAAGCTACTGCGGCCGCTGGCAGGCAGTGCAGCCGCCACCCCTTGGGTTCTAGAAGCCAGGGCCCTCCTCGTGGACTATCGAGGCCCTGGTTCCTGTGTTTGCGTAAGCGCCGTTTAGAATGCCCCCCCCCAAACACACACACAAAAAAAATAGAATGCCCCACGCACGGGGCCGAACCCAGGGGAGAGCCCGTCCAGCCTGAGTCCCAGCGTGACGGCCTCGAGTGGAGCCAACAGCGGACAAGGACAGCAGAAGGCCACCGCCCGAGCTCACACGACCCCGCCTGGCACCTCGGCTCCTCGCTCCCTGAGCCCCGCGTCCCCCACCAGCCTGCGCGGCCAGGCCCCCCGCCCCGGGCCCCCCACTCACCCAGTCCGCTGTCCGCGGCTCTCCGCCGAGGGTGGCTGGGGTAGGAGTAATACTGGGAGCCGCCCTTGGTGCCTGAAGGGGACAGGGGCCCGGGGCTGCCGAGGGCCAGCTCGCTGGGCAGGAAGCCAGCCTGGGGGACGAGAGGGCGAGGTCGTCAGGACGGTGGGGCTGCCACGCCACGGCCAAGGCGGGGGCTGCTCACACCCTTGCGGGGGGCGACGGGCACCCTCTGCAGGACCCCACCCTGCCTGCCCGGGATGTTCCCGTGACCTACGACACTCCCGACCACAAGCGACCGGCTCTTTCCCTGAACAAAGCCTGACAAAGGAAAACTCTCGTGACAGCCTTGCAACCTCCACGGCAGGAGGCTCAACATGCTAAACCCGCGTCGAGCGGTCAAGCAAACCTGCTTGCCTCACTGCACGTCTCTTTTAGGTTTGGCCCCACCAGCTTAATGTGAGAGGAGCTTCCTTTCCTCGGGAGCAAAGGGAGTGGCGCTCAAGCCAGTCCTGCAGCCCGACTGAGCAGCAGCGCCATGCCGCAGCCTTCTGGTCTACAACACGGGCACAGGGTGTTGTGGAGACAGGGGCACCCTGGGGGCTCCCTTCGCACAAGGCCTGTACCCGGTTGGCACTTGATCCAAGCGCTACCGCTCTGGATGCGACACTGTGAGCAAACAGGTGGCACCTCCTGGGACGAGGCCTGGCCACACCAAGGGGATAACGCTGACGAGTCACAGTCTACCCCCCACTCCCCCCCCCATCAGCCTCTCCGCCTGTGGGGTGGGCTCCCTGGGAGGGCACGGGGGGAGGGGTCAGGGACTCCGAGCTACCAGGCTGGCCTCAGCATCCCCATCTGCCCCTCGGGGGTGGGCACGGTCTCTTGGGCCCCTCCAGCTGTGGAGAGCCTGCAGCCTGGACCCCAGGTCTAGGAGTCCCGGGGTGGGGCTGTGGCCTCCCCAGCATTCCCCTCGCCCCATCCACGCCCAGGTGGCCAGCCTGGCCCAGGGCCTGTCCTCCTGCAGCGGACCGCACTGGGCTCGCCGGGGAACCTGCTGCAGATCAGAAGAGGGGGAAAGGCGGTGGGGAAGGCGAGGGACTGCAGCCTCCGCAGCCTCTCCAGACTCAGCGGACCCAGGCTGCCGCCGGGCCACGACCGCAGACACGGGCCTCACCTGACTCAAGCCGCCAACACCCGTGTCTCTCCCGAAGGTGCCGTACGCGCTGCGCTCACTGCCCTTGCCTGGAAGAGGAAAGACTCACTGGGGGCCGACCCCACACCAGGCACCAAGACGACTCTGGTGGGACGCTGGCCTCCCCCTCAGCCTGGGCACAAGCAGGGGTCAGGACAGACACCGTCCCAGCGTGACCTTCAGAGAACTCGCCGAACCACCAGGCCCCCGCGTGTCCTGCCAAGGCGCGCACAGCAGCAGCTGATCCTGCCGCCCCTCTCCTCATGCAGTCCTGGGGCATCATTCCCCGGGGAGCTGGGCTCCCGTGCACCCGTGAGGTCCAGCACCTGGGCCCTGGGCTGCACCCCCAGCTCCCAGCCAGCAGTCAGCTGGGTGAGAAAGAGCCTTTCCCCCGTGTGGGCGGTGAGGACACAGCCCAACCACCAGCACCAGTGCAGACGGATGCCTGGATCTAGCCTCACCTGAAGCAGAGGCCCTGGATCAATCAGCACCAGGGGATTCAGCCTTAAGACGGGTGCTGGTGTCCGCAGAGGGCAGACCAGTACCAGCATTGACGTGAGCAAGAAACTCAGGTGCTTGGCCAACTGATTACAATTGCTCTCAAACTAAGAGAGAAAATCTCCCGTTTCTTTATCATGAAATTACAATTTTGGCCAAACTCTTAGAGCAGGTGCTGGTGGGGGCCCAGGGGGCAGGGCTTCATGGGCTGTGCCCCAGTCCCACCTCCCATGAGCCTCCAAGGGCAGGCAATCCTGGGCCTATGGAAGAATCAGCAAACCAGGGAGTAAAGGGCAGTGGGGGACGGGGGGAGGCGCCTGCGCTTCCTTCCTCCCAGGGTCAGCATGGGACGCAGGGCAGGCGCGCTCAGCCACAGCTCTGGGCTCGGTCCAGGAAGGTGGCTTCCCCTTCCAGACTCTTAGCTGCAAATGTCGGGTGTTAGGGCTCAGACCCTGTACACAGCAGGCACCAAATAGGGGCTTCCTGAGCAGCAGGATGAGGGTGGCAAGGAGAGGAAGCGGAGGTTCCACGGGGGGACCCTGTGCAGCCCGCGAGCCTAGCACAGAGAAGGTACCTAACGCATACGCTGGGCCCCCACGTCAGGGAGACCACACGGGGGGCGACGGTACAAAACCCAGGGAGGCCCGCACTGCGCCCACCTCCCCGCCAGCCCGCGGGCCGGGCCTGGACGCCACAGGGCAGGCCTGGGACCCAGCTGGACTCTGGGCCCTGCTGACCAGGCCCGGCCGTGGGAAACCGCCCGCACCAGGAAGGAGCGGGAGGAAGGAACAGGCTGAAGGGAACCGGAGGCCCTGCAGGTGTACAGGCCACCCCAGGCCACCCGAGGGGCTGGCCCTCGCCCTCCGGGTCTGGCCAACCAATGAGCACAGGCTCCTGCCACACAGTATATCCTCGGACCCTGCCCCCGCCCCCCCGGGCACCATGCCTGCCTGTCCAGCTCCCGCCCCACACCCAGTCACGGGGACCTGCTCAGCCACCCACCCGGGCAGGCCCCGATGGTCCCAGAGGCTGAGCCTCCGCCGGCCCCAACGAGCACAGAGCCCTGGACGCGTCCCTCCGCTCTGACCCTCAGCCTGCCCGTCTACAGGTGGGGGAGGCTGCGGGGCCCTGGGAGCTGGGCAAGGCCTTGTCACCTGGCACACAGAAGGTCTTCGCAGATCCTGGTGGGAGGGACTCAAGCCCAGGCCTGCCTGAATCCTGACTCACGGCCGGCGGCTCTGACCACCTCCTGGGGCTGCCAGGACTCCCGAGCCCGCGCTCCCGTGGGCAGCAGGCCACAGCCTCCTACACCCAATGCTCTGGGAGAACCCAGTGAAGCACGAGCACGAGGGGAGGGGGCCGCACCGCGCAGCGCAGACACTCACCTCCAAGCCCGGGGCCCAGGAATGTGGATGAAGAGAGGCTGCCGTGGGGCTCACTGAAGTGAGTCCCGTCACCGTAGGTCTGTGGAGGCAGATGGGCATGAGGGGTGCTGGGGAGACGAGCTCCAGGGGGCAGGCGTGCTCTTGAGTGTCCCAGGCAGGACCTGAACCCACGTCTCCAAGCCCGCTGCCCCGGGAGACCAGATTGGCATCTGACTGCCCGCCCATGAGCCTCAGTTTCCCATATACGCCCCACACCAGAGCAGTGAGCCCAGGGCTCGGGCCTCCTGGAGGCTCCTTACCCGGCTGGGGTCAAAGGAGTTGCTGTTCTGGTCGCCGGCGCCCCAGGAGCCCGAGCTGGGCCGGTCCTCCAGACCTGCGGGCCAACAGAACAGAGTTAGGCTCGCCCTCGCTGCCTCCCTGCTCTGAAGCCTGCTGTGGCTCCCGGCTCCCCAGGGAGAAGCCCTCCCGCAACTGAGCAGGCCTCCCGGGTCCTCCTGACCCAGCCTGGCCTTGGGGTCCCTCTGGCCTCACCCAGCCCCTACCCTGCTCGTATTTTAACTGTCAGGGGGACGCCAGGATGGCTCGGCGGAGGAGCGTGTAACTCTTGACCTAATGATTGCTAAGTTCGAGCCACAAGGTGACTGTAGACATCGCATAAAAATAAAATCTTAAATCTTAAAAAACACAATAAAACAAACAACTATCATTGCTGGGAAGCACCTCAGACACCCCATCATTTAGCATATCTTCAGGCCCACAGTTCCAAAAACAATCTTCCCAGCTGCTTGTGCTGGCAAACTCCTACCCATCCATCAAAGCCCCAGCCACGATGTGCACCCTGGGCAGAGCCCTCACTCTCAGAGCCTGCTCCCCCCAGCACCTAGTTTCTCCCTCTGGTCCAGCCATGACCCCAAGGAACCGGGGCATCTGTATCAAGCTCAATCTCTCCTGACCCTACAAGAAAGGGCATGAGGGTGCCACGAAAGGGTGAGCAGTGATTAAGGTCTGACCTCAGGGAAGTGGGAGTCTCTCCCTTCCCATCACGAGTGGGGATTCAGGAGGTGGAGTCACTCCATTGTTGAAATAACAGCACAGCTGCCACTACCTTCCAGGCCCAGGCTGCGGCGTATCGGGGAGCAGGGAGCAGCGGGGCCCCAGCGAGGAGAGGCCCACGGCGCAGCGGGGGGTGCAGCAGCGGGGCGGAGGGGCTGGGTCTGGAGCAGGGGGTGGGGCAGGGTGGGACCCTTATCTTCCCCAACACACGCGGGCACCACCCAGGGCTCCCCACCCAGTAGGCAGAGCCAGCGGGGGCCGGGCTGGCTCCATCCACCAGACACAAGGCCACACGGCCTGACACCCACGGAGCAGACCCCGGCCCCCCGAGGGCCCCAGCGCCACGCCTGGGTCCTGTTTCCATCCTCTGCGGACAGGGGATGAACATGGCCCGCGTCAGGGTCAGGCCGGGAGGGATGCACTGGAGGGACCCGCGCCAGCCCGCAGTGCGACCCCACCAGCGGGACTCTGGGGAGGTGGCCAGCCCACCCGCCCTCCCCCACTCAGCTTTACCAGAAACTTCATTCAAATTTCATACTGTTAGGATGCCTTTGTGTTAATCATCATCCCCCCAAACTAGTGTTTAATTGCTGCCTGATTTGCATAACTGCGCATATTAATCCCTCACCCTAATGCATATTCATACATCACATTTAGATTTTATTTTCTAATCAAAAATTTCCAACGTGATTGCAGTGGGGGGCTGCCTTTGCTGGAGCTGGGGGGGGGCATGACCCCAGCAGGGGCTCTTGTGGTCCCGGGATCTATGCAGTATTTGCCACCAGGTTTGGGGCATGTGCACAGGGAACAGAGAGGCCGGTGAGGCACGAGTGAGCCTGGGCACGGTACCCGCAGCCCAAGCCTCAGCCTCCCCTATACCCACATGCCTGCTGCCTCTTCTGGAGCAGCCCCCACCCCGTGGCCATCCACAGTTCACCCCTGGCGGTGCCACTGGGAAGCCACATCGCAAAAGCACAGCAGATCAGGTCTGAGGACGACTCCAACTGGGCACCCGCAGCCCAACCCCTGCAGGGCCTGGTGGCATGAAGGGCACCCCGGGGCCTGGGGACTCCCACCCACGGGGGCTCCCAAGTTCCCGGCAGACGCAACCAGGTCTGCCGCGGCCCAAGGGGAGGAAGCCCGCACCAGCCCCTGGCCTCCCCTCTTCTCAAGATGTCAAAAATAGAGACGGCCCCTCCCCCCTCACTCCACCACCGGTTATTAACCCCCCCACCGATTAATTGTACATTTTAATAACCACTATGAATATTCATACAGAATATTCACATTCCATATTCACGCTCTAATTAAAACGTACAAATAGAATAAAGCACTGCTGTCGGGATGTAATCTTTCTGGGGCTTTTTTCAAGAAAGGCTGCGTGTTTCCTGCTGGCGGTGGTGGCGGCGGCGGCCAGGACAGTGCGTAGAGGGTGCCCTGCCAGGGCCCACGCCACGGAGCTCCAGGGCCAGTGAGGGGGAACAAGCCACCCACCTGCCCAGGCTGCTGTGACAGAGAAGCAGGGACACCGCAGAGTGGGGGGCACTGCCCAAGCCTGGTCCCTGGTCCCAGCCGGCCCTTGCCTGAAGACCTAGGGGTTTGGGGCTGGGCTGGGAGGCCCCCGTGGCCCGGGCTGGATCCAGACAGAGCAGGGGAGCTGCTGGCCCTCTGCGGGGACGTCCAGGCAACCCCAGGACTCGGGGGGGGGATTCCTGAGCGGGTCCCCTGAACAGGGTTCCTCCAGTACTGGGGGCCCGGTGTGGACCAGAGCCCGGCTCCGTGAGCACCCTCAAACCCCTCAGGCCGGGCCGCTTCTTGTCGCCTCCAGTACAGCCCTGGGTCCTCCCGCAGCAGCGGCCCCCCCACCCCGGTCCCTGCCCATGCTCCAGCCCAGGGAGCCCAATGAGGTTTCCCGAAGCAAAACCTGGCTCTGCCCCCCCCCCCCGTCTGGCAGCCCTGTGGCTCCCCACATCCCTCTCTGCCCACCCTCCCCTGCAGCTCATCCCCTCCACCCCCACCCACTCGCCAGCCCCAGTTCTGCCCCGTGGGTCCCACACCTGCAGATTCATCACCTCCCTCAGGAAAGCCGCCCTGCCGTCCCCTCCCAGCCCAGGGTCCCCCGTACCCTTAGTGTTGTCCATGTGGGGCTGGCCCCCCGCAAACAGCTTCGGCAACTTCCATGCTGCACATCCTCGCCCAGCTGCCACTACCCGGGCCTGAGTCCAGGAGCCCCACGGCACCCATCCGGCCCCCCTGCCCGACCCTGTCACGCAGGGCTGCCCGGCCTCTAAGTGGGGCCGGCATGACTGATAGAAGGTACTTCCAATCCTGTGGGATCTTTTTTTTTTTTTTAATTTTTATTTATGATAGTCACACACAGAGAGAGAGAGAGAGAGGCAGAGACACAGGCAGAGGGAGAAGCAGGCTCCATGCACCGGGAGCCCGACGTGGGATTCGATCCCGGGTCTCCAGGATCGTGCCCTGGGCCAAAGGCAGGCGCTAAACCACTGAGCCACCCAGGGATCCCCTGTGGGATCTTTAAAACACGTAAGCGTGGGTGACCACGTGTGGCTTGCAGCCGCGGTGCTGGACACCATGACCCCACAACCCAGAGACCGAAATAGTAACAACAAAACCATCACTTCAGGCCCCGCAACTGCATCTAAAACACGTTGACGACATCTGGGAACGACTCCCCAGCGAGTGCTCAGAGGTCTCTCTTCTTGCAGACCTTCAGGAGGCCAGTGGGACACACGGCTCTCCCTCTGGCCCTTCCCTCTCAGTTAAAATCCCCCCAAATCCAGGGGGTGGGTCAGCCAGCCCCACCTGCGTGCGGCACTGAGGGGCTTGTGGAGGGGCAAGAGCGACACCAGTTTGCTTTTCAGGGCAACCCTTCCTCGGCTGGGGCTGTGGACTCCCACAAGCCAGGGGAGGCCTCTCTTCCAGGATTTTGGGGGGAGGTCAACATTTTCTTTTAAGATTTATTTATTTGGGGTGGGGGAGAACCTTGAGCCGACGACATGCTGAATGTAGAGCCTGACGTGGGGCTCGATCCCTTGGCCCTGAGACCACGACCTGAACCAAAACCAAGGGTCAGATGCTCAACCTACTGAGCCTCCCACTCCAGGTCCCTGGGAGTCAACTTTTAAATTCCTGTATCATTTCGAAATTAGGAGGGAAGCTGCAAGAGGCATGGCAGGCCGTGCCCGGAACCCGGCTCACTCGGCCCGTGTTCCTGCCTCCCTGCTGTCCTCCTGTGCCCTCTGCTCACACGCAAGAATGCTTCCCTTCCCAATGTGCGTCGACTTCAAATTTCAGTAAGTTCTCCATGGCTGGCCATGGCCAGGACAGGCCCCCACCCCCTGGGGCTGGCAAGGATCAGAAGCGGGTTCGAGAACATCAGCGGCGAGACTGGAGACCCGCGGCACGCACACACCGGGTGCTGGGAGCTCCCACTGGAGGTAGGTGCCCGAGGGGCCCGGAGCCCAGGCGGCATCCACCTGAGCCTGGGGGGCCTGGCAAGACCCGTGAGCCAGCAGATTGCAGGCAGGAGAGGAAATGAGCAGAGGCCATACCCGCCCTAAGAGCAAGAGGACCTCCAACCCCCCGGGGCCCCTGGAGCAACGACCCACAACCCCAGGGGCTTCCCCGCAGCAGAGGCAGCCTCAGGAGGGTCCCACAAAGACATGCTAACTCACAGAGAACTGGGCCCCCGCAGCTACAGAGGTGCCCTCCCCTCCCCCGTGAACTTCAGATCCGTGACCCAAGTGCTTCAGCCCGCTTCAGACTCCAGGGGACCCGTGTGGTCCTGAGTCGGGGTGAGGCAACCTGCCCCCAATGAGCTCAGAAGCCAGGCTGGGGCCCCTGCAGGGAACAGAACACAGACATGCGTGGGACACCAGAGACGGACGGTTCCTCCCGCAAACGGGACCGGAGGCAGCAGCCCCAGGTGCCCTCAGAGATCACGGAGCGAGCGGCGCTGCTGGAGGAAAGACTGGAGAGAAAACAGTGAGAAGACGGCAAAGCACGCAGAGCGGAGCCCACAAACCCACAGGAGACAGCGAAGGGCAGCAACCCGCGGGAAGGGCGCTCGGGCCGGAGGGACAGGGCCCCGAGGCCACACACGGCGGGACCCAGCCTCACTCCGAGCAGGCAGAGCGGACTGCGCGTTTGAGCGGTGGCCACCAAGGGCACCAGGGGGGCACCCAGGGTGCTCCACCAGCACCGGCTGGGGTCGTGCTCCCAGGATCCTGGGATGTGGCCCGCATCGGGCCCCCTGCTCCGTGGGGAGTCTGGTCTCGCTCCCGCGCTCTCTCCCCC